TTAGCTTATTATACATATTAGTATAATTAAGATTCTACTTTATAGTATTATAATTAAGCTGCTTAGCAACTAATAAATTAATAGCCTTTTGCACCTAATATTTCTATAGCATAAGCATATTAAAATTAGAAAAGTTTTTTTTAAATAACTTAAGCATAGCCTAGTTAATTAGCTATAGGCATAAATCCTTTATAAAATTAGTAATGCTAGAGAGCAACACTATTTATTCTAAGTAAAAAGGCAAGTTATTAGATAAATGTTAGAAGAACTTATTTTATAACACTATAAAATTACCTACATTTTTAAAGACTAAGGCCTAGAGAAAGACATAATATAACTTAAAAGTAAGTGCTAAATGCTAAAGCTTAAAAAATATATACTACTATAATTTATTCTTAACTAAGAGATTAAAAGCTAAATAAGTGTCTTTAAAAGTAAGTTAGATCTAACTATTAACTATGTAAAAATATTTAAAACTAATTATGCCTAAAATTTACATAAGAAGCATCTTAAAATAAAAACACTTTTTAAAAAAAGAACTATAAAAGTAGACATAACTAATAAAGTACTAATTACATTAGAACTAAGTTTATTTACTACTATTTTTCTCTAAATTCTAACAATACTAGGTTAGAAAATCCTAGTAAAAAAAATTACACTTATTTATATAAAAAGCATTATACTTTAACTATTTTATTAATAATAATTTTTTTTATTTAACTACAATCTTTACTTGTTTAGCACTGTCCTTATTATAAAAGGTAACTATATGCTGTTCTAGTAAATGCACTGCTAATTAAATAACAGAAGGCTTTTTTTTATAAACTTTAAACTTTATTAATTACTAAACAGCCTTAGTTAGTCTAATATAGCGCATGTTTAGATACTAGGCAACCTTGTTTTTTTACTAGATATAAATAACAACCTAATTAGTGCCCTTATAGATATACTTATATATATATTTAACTAACTTTATAGAGGCACAGACCTCTATGTTAACATGTGTGTTGTACTTATATAAAAAGTATAAACTATAAGGCACTACTTAGTAATTATTAACTATAACATTTTAACTACAACACTTTATAACCTAAGTTAAACTAAGTTAACACTAATATATAAGATAACTATCTCTACTAACTAAAGTCTTATTAGTGTATTTTTTTAGAAATTACTTCTAACAGGTTGCTTAGAGAGAACGCTCTGTAGTCTGCATACAGAGCATGCTAGGATTTAAGGTTTTACATAGCCTATAAACTATAGTAGTTTTAATAATGTTACTTAAAACTTTATTTAAATCTTAAGCTTTTATAAAGAGCTTAGCTTATATAACTTAATTAATAAAGTTTAAATTAAGAAACTAATTATAGTAATTATAACATAAAAAAAGTAAAATATAAGTATAAAGTAAACTCTACTTCTAGTACTTAATAGTATACATAATACTAGTATACTAGCTAAATACATAGTTAGTCTAGAGGTCTGCAAGAAGGGAGTTAAGACGCAGCTTAAAAACGCGCGCAACTAGATCTAGCTAATCTAATAGCTAAAAGAACGTACTAATCTCCTGCTCTAACTCTAGCTATTTAGAATTAGTAGTAAAAGTAATAAATAAAGTAAGTTAACTAAGCTTTTAAATAATAGCTATAAAGTTTTAATAACACTGCGTAATAAAGCAACTACTACTAATGTAACTTAAAAAAAATAGTCTAAATTTTAACTAAATTAGCCTAAAAGTTATTCTAATTTAATGCATTACACACTTTTTAATATAAATTAGCATGTAACTATCTTTAATTTACTGCAATCTACTGTAACTTTCTTTATTTACACTAAGCCTAGTAGTTAATAATAAATTACTAAAATAATAGACTATAATTAAAAGGCATAATAAAACTACTACACTAAGAAAATAAGTAAAATTAGTAATACTTAAAATTAGTTAGAGTATTCTAGGTGCAAGACATGCGTAAAGTACACAGCTATAAACTATAGTAAAACCTAAGAGTACCTTATAAAAATATTAAAACATAGTAAAGAGGCTAATATACTACATGTGTATGTTTTATTTTTTAGTATAGAGACTAACAGTGTCTTAAATTAAGGCTAGGTTAGTAGTAAAAAATAAAATCTTAGTTATAATTTTTAACTAGCTTATTATAAACTAAAGCAGTAATCTTTTTAGTAATAAGTAAGTTTTCTTAACATTAATTAGCCCTAGCCTATATAATTAACTATAGTTATAAATTAAGAGTAATTTATAATTTCTTATTTTACTTATAAGCTTACTATAACTACTTATGTGTAGTTTTATATATTTTAATCTAAGAATTATTATAATCTGTCTTAACTATTTATAGCAGCTGTGTAAGTATAGTTAGATTAAAACTACTATTAGCCTAATACCTTATACACGCACTATTAGCCTAGGCAGGATTGTAAAAGTACAGCTGTGTGTAAAAAAAGATGTCCCCCTTAGTAGGCTTTAATAGGCTGTGCATATAGTATATCTTCTTTATAATCTAAAAAACTTTTACGCCTATGCTACACACACTTTAATTTATTTATTTATAGTTAGCTAACATAAAAGCTAAAGCTATATTATATAATTAAAAATGCTTCTAAAAGAATTTACTAAGTAAGTGCCTACTCTATAAAAGATAACATAGAAATAAAGGTAGATCTAGAAAAGTTAAAAAGTTAATATTACTTATTAAGCAACATATAAAGTACTAAAAAGAATCTGCTTAACTCTTATTAACTTACTTTTTAGGCTAGTAAAAGGCACTGTAGTTAAAACAGCTACTTATAGAATTCTACATTAAACTAAAGTTAATAAAAGTAATATAGTTTATAGTAGTAATAATATATACCTTTAGTAAATTATCTTATAAGAGACTAGCCCTTAGTTACTTCTAATCTCTACACATAAATAAAAATAAAGCAGGCTAATCTAAAGTATGTTAAAAAAGTAAAGATTAAATAAGTCTTTATAAAGTTAGCTATATATTATAATAATGTATATATATAGATAGTGTAGAAAAAGTAGAAGTTAGCATAAAAAACTTAAAAAAAGTTAATTATATATTATAATAAATCTAGACAGATAGCATAGAAAAAGTAAAAAAAAGCATAAAAGTCTTAAAAAGGTCTTAATATGTATAAAATAATTAATTAAGCACTAGTGTTCTACTTAATACAGTGTTACACCTAGCATGTGCAGGTTAGCCCTAGCATAGACCTAATTAGACTATAGTAGCGCAAGCTTAAACACATTTTAAAAGTTATACATTAAAGTTAACATTAGCTAATAGCTAACACGCCTAAATAAAACTAAATATAAGTGCTAAAAAATATAATAATTATAATAAAGTAACATACTACATAGCTATATCTATTACACTAGTAATAAAAAGCTCTAACTTTATTAGTAAAGAAGTTAAAGAGAGGTCTATAGTTATTATAGACTAGGTAGAAAGTAGGTAATAAGTCTATATAGTAATAATATAAAAAAATAACACTATATAATAAAAAAGAAAAAATAAGTTAAAAAAAAAAAGTACTAATTAAAAAAAGTTAAAGTAAATTAAAAATAAATTAACTTTAAGTAAATTAAAATCCTGCCTATTAAAATAAGGCATAGTAAAGCCTATACTATACTAAATAAATTTATTTTTTTAAAGTTTTTAAAAGTATAACTTTTTCTAAAATAGTGTTTTTATTAAGTTTAAAAAAAAACTTAATTAGGCTAAAAACTTTTAAAAAAAAAATTTTATATAAAAAAAAATTTAAGCTATTTAAACTTATTATTTTAAGTAATAAAACACCTTTAAGCTTTTACCCTCTATGTAATAGTTTATAGTATGCAAATATGCTTTTAATTTTAATATAATTAGTATAGCTTTATAGCTTAAAGAAAAAAAAAATAGTTAAAAGTGTTTTATATTAGGCTAATATTATATTAGGTGTAATCTTAAGGCCTTTATAATTCTTTATAAAGGTTAGTAGATAACATAAAATAACCTAATACACTTATATACATTATAAATAGCTATAATATAGTAGCTTACTATAACTTATTATTATTATAAAGTAAGGTTAACTAAGGCTGTAAAAGTATTAAAGTAAATAATGTCTAGTTAAGAAAGATTAAAACAGGTTAGAGTAGATGTAGAGCTAAAGCCTAAAGTTGCACTACTATTTTGCTTAACTAGGGGGAGATCCTCTAGAACCCTCTTTTTGCCTACAGTAGGCTTTACTTAGAAGGTCTTAGCAGAGCTAATTATATTTAGCAGGAAAAATTACACTATAAAAGTAATTTTTACACCCCTAACTATACAGTAGTTAATTATAATAGAAAAAAAAGAAAACTAGATTAAGCATATAGCATAGCAGAACAATTACTTAAAGCTTAAAAACAAACAGTAACGCAGCTTTTTAGTTACTAATTTTCTACTAATTAAATTAATAGCCGGCTTATATCCAGACCAATAGGAGAGAGGGCTTGGCGGTAGAGATAGTGTAATATTTAATGATGCCATAGTACGTACCTCTTTGTATTTTAATAATGCCCCAGGCATGCTAAACTCTCCGCCATTCCGGACACCATCTTCCATTCCTATGCAATTTTCCAACAAATCAATGTGTTTTGGTTTACTGGTGAAATGTATGTTGAACATGAGGCAGCTGTAATTTAATTTCGTTTCACCCATTGAAATTTTCTTCGAATCCCTTTCAATTTCAGCGTCAGATCAGTCACACAGGTGGTGGATGCCGTCGAGGGACCTTTTTTTCTGTTCCAAGTGATGAATTCGCCAATTGCCAGTTTCTTTCAGCTAGAGAAATGCTCATGATCATTTCAGCGTCAAGTTTTTCTGGACTGGAATTACGTAACCATCAATTGCCTTCCTTTAGTGCAGCGCTAGCACTTACAAGTACAAACAGACCGTCCATTTACACTAGAACAAGGCCTGTTGCGGAGCAGGGTCCGAAAGACTTAGATGTTTAGAAGAAGGTGCTCATTAGGAAGGCTTAGTGACCAGGACTTCAAAGCCAAAAGTATCCAGCTATTAAATAGGACAAAGTGCTTGCACTCGCGTCCTAACTTAGCTAGTTAGTACGGCTGCGTTGACTCAGCAAAATTACTGCCGGCTCAACCTCAGCTAAATCTGCTCTCACACTACCCAGATCTAGTATTTTCTTCCCTTCACCATCAAGACACCTGGCCAGTGCGCAGGAAGGTGTTTCCTCGTGCTTACACATGCTCACAGTGGAAAGACCGCAAAAGGGCATCTAAAGAGACTCCTATTATCACCTATATGCAGGCAATTCTCACACACAGTTGGATATGTTGATGAACGTTGCCATTAATCAAAGGTATAGAGCTTTTGTTGCTAAACTAGCTTCCAAGGCCAACGCAACATCAGCTGTAGTGTGCTATACTCTAAAATTATCCACCCCACCCCACCCCACCCCCCTCCCTCTGGCTTTAACAATGTTTCTCGTACCCAGCCTCAATCCCCCCAGCATGGGTGCAGTCTTGAATTAAGAGACGCTCTTGCCTCTGCTATTTCAGCCCTAAATGTGGTTTAGGGGCGAACAAATAGTCCTCTAAGAAATTTTGTAAACGCTAGGTTTCCTAGTTAATCTAGATTTCCAACCCAGTCTGCGAGACAAAGTTCGCCATACCAAAAGATACGTGCATAGCTGTCAGAACCTAGAGTTAGGAGAATTAGAGCTTCAACGTAGCGCTGCCATGTTAGTAACCTAACACCCAGGCAGGAGGCAGGAAAACAACCCCATCCTTGCAGTAGGCCTCCCATGCGAAGGCCTGGGTTGTTAGCAAAGATGATATTGTTATCTATCCCATTAGAAAATTCTACTCCTCGCCCTTCTGCAGATATTTCCCACAGAACGTCCTCTATCGCGTGAAATTGCACTGTGTTCCAGTCAGGCCCCGTGAAATCACCAGCCTCACCATAGTCCAGGTGGAAGTGTGGAGGACTCTGATCACCAGAGCGCTGCCATGCTGTCTCTTGCCAACAACTCTAGGAGCAGCTTCTGTCTTAACATAACAAGAGGCCTTCCACCTTAAGTGAGCTAATAGCTGTGTGAAATTGTCTTCTTAGAATTGCAAAGGCAAGTTCCTAAGGAATCTTTAGTTAGCAATCCTATACTGCACAAGTAGTGAACAGCGTTCAACAGGCAAGTATCTTTGTACCTAGGTTAGGACGGGCACAGTGTAAGTGGTCATAAGATGGGATCCTAAGAGCAGATTCTCCACACTGTTTCTATTAAGCAGCCTTGCAACCTTGCTGCAGAGTTTAATGCTAAATCACTGTCAGGCTAACAGGAGCAGGGCGTTTCTCAAGGATGAGGAAGCGCATGCATGACAAGCAAGCTGGTTGTGAGCACTTTGCGGCAATAAGTTCGTGGGTCTATTAGTGAGTGCGGACCCCATACAAGGCCGGCCAAGCCACCCAGGCTGTACAACCGTCCCATTTGAGAAGCGTGAGAATGGACCAGCTGGCAGGCTTTATAGCCAGCTTTGGTAGAACATTTGAGCTAGTATAACTTTGCCGGAACAGTTTAAAAGACACTGATACAGCGAGGACACTGCGAAGACTTAGGTAGCACTGATACTATTGTTGGTGTTATAGCGAAGCGTGTAGGGGTGCGAGGAGGTCTTGTTTTGAGGGGGAAATTGGCGTGAGAACCTGTTTAAGTTTCCGCAGGTGCCACCTGCCTAGGTAGACAAGTAGAACCCACTAGGTGTTCTACAGAGAAAGCGTCTAGATTATTGCTAAAGTTCTAGTTATTATAGCTACTAGTAGCTATTATAAGTGGGTAAGCTAACTTATGTAATTTAGGTTCCACTTAGATAGCTAGATGTGTAGGTTTTAAACATACTAATAGTTTTTAAATATAAGAGGCGCAGTGCCTAAACAAAGCCTAAACTAAAAAGAGTAGAATTATTGTATCTGCTAGGTTTATCTACGCTATAAAGTTGGTGATGTACTAAGCATATAATTACTCATTTATGGACACGTGTTAGCTTAGCAGAAAAGCATTCTCCACGCCGCTCTTGCACTACAGCTTTAACTACAACTTTAGATAATTTTAAATTTTTATAGTAAGTTTTTAGAAAGTTTTATTTAAGTGTAGTGGTGGTTAAATTTTCTCTATATTCTAAAAGTGTTCACACATGAGTGGTTATATGCTTGGTACACACTAATGCTAAGCCTGCACGTGATCCCTAACATTGAATAAGAATACAATTTTTCCATGGACCGCTGTAGACTAGAATATCTCCCTCGCGGCCATGTACAATGAAATATCACTCTAGGCCACTTCCCTAGCTGCATCTCTAGCAGTATCTTACAATATATGTAAGCTAGACCTCTTTACCTTCTTAACATTCTATACAGGAATTTTTCTATTCGCCCCTATAAATATACCTCCTTCTGCCGACTTAAACCTACTACTACTATCCTTAGTAGAAACCTGAGCTTCCAACAGCGTAAGGTCCGGATGATCATCCTCTCGGACACTCACGGGGATGACCTAAAGAATGTATCCCTCCCTAGCGCTGATGTGGTCCTTCACTGCGGCGACCTCACCAACGACTCACGGTTCGCGGAGCTCGAGAGAACCCTAGCGGTGCTGCGTGCCATTGACGCGCCTCTGAAGCTGGCAATACCCGGGAACCACGACTTCAGCCTCGAGCCCACAATCACCCAGCTCAGCAACAGCGACAAGACAAGAGTAGTGCGCCTACACAGACAAGCAAGGCGGAGGATGACGCCGACTCCAAGGCCTCGTGGGAGATCCTCCGCCACGCCGCCCAGCATGATAGAATCTTCCTCCTTCCACAAGGAACGCATACCTTCATCCTGCCCCCCGACGTAGGCGGCGTAGGCGGTGGTGGGGGGCGCCTCCGGCTCTTCGCGAGCCCGCTAACGCCGCGGTGCGGCAACTGGGGCTTTCAGTACGGCCGGTCAAACCCTCACAAATGGGCCATACCTCCGACAACGCAGAACGGAGACGGGGCAGTAGACGTAGTGATGACGCACGGCCCGCCGAGGGGCATCCGTGACGGGACGGGGACGGGGATGCAAGGCGGTGTGGCGCCGGGTGCCGGGTGCGCGGGACTGCTGGCAGCTGTGGAGCGCGCGCGGCCGCGCGTGCACTGCTTCGGGCATATCCATGGGGCATGGGGCGCTGAGATAATCGCCTGGAAGCGCGAGAGGGCTGCTAGTGCTCCGATCTACAGCAACTTGGTTGATGCACAGCGTTCCTGGGTCGTAGCGAGCTTGCTGCCGGCTACCAAGGTTACTAATAGTGCTGGAGAGTGCAGCCTTGGTCCCCCGCCCACGAGGACGCTGCGGTATCCCTCCCAGTCAAGGGAGGAGGGGCACTGCTGCGTCGTAGACATCTCTTCAGACGGAGAGCACTTCGTGGAACGGGGCGCGCAGACGCTCTTCGTAAACGCGGCGGTGGAGCTCCGGTCCAGGCCGCCTCGAATGCCGTGGATGGTTGACATAGACTTGCCGGTGGCAGGCGAGGAGGACGCTACTGCGGCCGCTGAGACCATGTATCGGTTGCTGCTGAGGAGCTCTGGAGAGTGAAGAGCTTTGGGGAGTGGCACGCTCATAGTAGAGAAAAGCTCCGAGGAGAAGAACGTGTCGCACGTGTCTCACGCGATATCATACCCATGTACTGCACTATTCACTCATTAAGCATAGCTCCTCTCTCGTACAGTATATAGTCAGCCCAGAGCTCTATCAAGCTCCTTAGACCTTACAGTACACTCGTACAATCCACTTTGTTTGGATCTCACTACCTTGTTGACTCGCTTCCCATATGACCCCTTCTTAGCTCATGCAAGAGAACGCTCCCAGGAGAAGACAGCCCCTGAGAGAGGAAAGCTTCGGGGAGACGATGGCTTCCAGGAGAGAAGCGCTCTGGGGAGAAAGCTTCCAGGAGAAGGGAGCTCCCAGGAGAAACGTCGACCATTCTTGGTCTCCAGCAAGCCTAGTTGTGGCCCGATTTCAGACCTTCATGCTGCTCAGGAATGGAATCGGGCACAGTCATGCTAGCTCATGCTGGCTTAGGGCGAGCTTAGGACAGCTCAAGCTGCTTAATCATGGTCCTCATCTCTCGACGAGCTAATTGGAGCCCAATTTCAGACTCTCCATGCTGCTCAGGGATGAAATCAGGCACGATCACGCCGGCTCACGTAGGCTCAGGACGAGCTTATGAATGATCAGCCACAGCTTGAGTTGCTTACTCACAGCTTACATTACACCCCTGCGTAATTCCCGTCTTAAAACAGAAATGAACATTGTGTGAGGGCAATTTGTCCCCATATATCTTTCGCTATTTCTAAGGAATAATAGGTTTCAAAGCTGCGGGAGGGGTGCCATCGAGCATAATTATTTCGCTTTCTGGATGCACAAGTCTCCAACGACCATGGAAGACCCAAAGCTGGATTACTTTATAGCAGTTTATATGTGGAAAGATATCTTCTACTTCACTCTCCGGAGATCGGACAACCTTCTCGCATTTCTATGAACAATACTAACCGCCATACTCCAGAGCTGACAAAACTTGCAGCATGTCATACGAAGGAAGGAAAGGGTTGGTATGAGGAATGTTTGGCACCACAAAGTTGGGTGAACCGAGATTGTGGCTTTCGCTCCAGACATGAAATATTTTTTGTCGGACTTTTCAATAGAGGCGGATCGGCATTACAATGTTGAACTGCAATGCCGAAATCAGATAGCCATGAGCTTCCTGGACGTTAATTTGATCCAGGAGGCATCTGGGCCCTTTGTTGGAAATCATAGCCTCTCAAGAAAGGTAGAAACGGAAATGGGTGGCCGGGATAATCGAGATACTGATTGCTCCTAGGCTATGACGACAAAGTGAAAAGATTTTCGAACGGGCCTACGAAGGGCACTTGGATTATCTGGTAGGCCATGTCGGTTTGCTCATATCTAATTTTATATATATATATTTTTACTGATACTGGAGGCCATAGGTCGCCGTTGCTGTAGATCTATTTTCCCTGAGGTGTGAAACTAATATGAAGAGGGAAGAGTTCGAGAAGAGGACGGCGCAACTCAGAAAAAGAGTTATGAGATAGAACGACTGCCACGGCTCACTTCCTACGACAGGTGCTGGCATGGCATGCTACAGGTATCCCCTAGATACGCTCTTAGCTTAAAGGCCAAGAGGTCTATGTCTTCTACATTACTAGAAAGGTATGAAGTACCACTGTCTGTTTTCGCTTCTTCTCCACATTTGGAAGCAACTGCTAAGCATGGGAACCAAAAAAACTTCTGCAAGGAGGATTATAGGTCACGGAGAGAACGATGGTGGCAACAGAGCTCACGTTCCTAATGCCAAAACTCTCTTCATCTTGGAAATGAGTAATGTGGTAGTGATATGAGCGTCTCCAAGCATTCAGAAGAAAGCACAAAGCCTGAAATGTTCTGTAGATCCAACATTTTCACAACTCTGAATATTTCCGGAAAACTGTGCTTCAAAACAACGCCGGCCAAGAACAGAAATATCATTTTTGAACTCAATGGAGAGATGTGAGACATAAGAACGTCAAGCGACTACACTGGCATACGCGAAATGGGCTGGCAGACGACCTTCCCCAACTGAAGGGGTGAAAAGCGGATAGTGATAGCTGTATTCCTCTCTTGCATCACCTCTCATGCATCACCTCTCAACAATGTTGTTCGAGTTGTCCACATCTAATTGCTGCCAAATCTCGGGGCTAACACCCGACCACCTCACAAAATCTCCGTTTCCAAGTCTTTGCATTCATTTAAGAAAGCACGGAAGTCTAGGTAGACCATTTTCCCTGTGTCGAACTTTCGGGTCATTCTATGTGTTCAGCTGTGATTTCGAGCCGCACAGAAGCCACATCACCAAACGCCTTTATCATTTAAGGACCGCATTTCGGTATTCACGACAAGATTTTAGCAGCTGTGTTCAAGGGAAGAACCCCGCAACCAGCAGGCTTATATGCCCCCCAACCGTTCACGCGTCACTCAACCAAACATGTTCCGCATCTCGGAAACACTCGGAACGATCTCGGAACGCTGACTGACAACCACTATCCGGCCAACTTCTTACCCATGCCGACCATCGGTATTGTGGCGTCTTACTCCGGAACGCTCTTGTTCCGTTGTGGAAATGTTTGGTTCCCCGCAATGTTCCTGGAAGCTGCTGCATTATCGGAGAGAAACTGCATAATCACCTTCCTGTTTGGGAAGAGGGACTGTAGATCCGTGGCTCAAGCCCTCAGTTCATGCTGTAGATTATCATTCCGACGCTAAGTAGGGAGGTTGCCTCATGGATAAGTTTTTGATTTCAGGGGAATGTGGATATTGTTTCGATTCTGGATTGGTCATACGAGTCATACCTGACAGCAGAGTATATGATAAGAAGAAAGTGAATATACAAACGCTTGGAACAGCTCATTTACTTACTTTCACAAACAACCACAACGCAACTCCTCTATCGCGCTCCTCTCAATTGCTTTCACAAGTCGATATCGATACTGATACCTATCCCCAAACATGAAACTCCGACACATGATGTTCACGTTCACGATCAACCTCCAAGCACTCCTCTCGCTATCCACACTAACCACATCCACCCTAATAACAACATCCGGCAATATCACCCTCCCTGAAACGCCCACGCCCATCCTCGGAAATCTCTACAATCACTGGATCGTCCTCCCAAACAAAACCTACGACCTCACCCGCTCCCTCTACCTCCCCACCACAACCCCTGTCACCATTCCAATGTTCGGAACTCGTAAAGCCGCCATCATCGAGCCCTCGCGCTCCGCTCTCATCATCATCGACATGCAGAATTACTTCCTACACCCGAAGCTTAGTCCCCGTGCGACAGGTGGTCGAGCAGCCGTTCAACCTACGCTAAATATGATCGCAGGGTTTAGGAAGAAAGGAATGAAAGTGCTGTGGACGAATTGGGGGCTGGATGGCTATGATTTGTTGACGATTCCGCCTAGCTTTTTGGCGGGGTTTTCGGGCGGGACGGATAGTCCGTTAAGTATGTTGGCTTCCTTCATTTCTGTTTTTGGTTTGGGGAAAGGAAATTGTGGAAAGTAGGTTTGATTAGCTGACAAGAATGCATATAGCGACGTTTGGTAGCGACATGGGGATAGTGGATGGAGCTGAAGCTGGAGGAAAACTTATGCGAGGAGCGTGGAATGCAAGACCTTATGGACCGTTATATGATGCACAGGTCAAAGGGGTGGAGGATGGGACGGATCTTTATTTTAATAAGAGTAAGTTTCATAGGCGGATATAGGGGATATGGTGCTGATGAAGCGACCGTAGATCGGCTGAGCGGCCTCTGGGGAGCGCAGACACCCTTAGGAATGTGGTTGATGGGAAATCAGATTACAACACTCTTCTTCGGAGGCGTGAATGCGGATCAATGCGTCGTGAGTACCCTTTCCAGCGAGGTTCTGTTGAAGATTTTAGCTGACGGGTAAGCTAGTGGGGAACATTCCTTGATGCATACTACAAGGTGAGCAAGGTTGTCAAAGTTAGATGGAACGGCAGGATTCAATGATTTACTAGGGATACGACGTAGTTTACGTCGACGACATTGCTGCAACTACGAGCCCGGAATAGTGAGTTGAGGTAGAGTCGTTGATACCCTTGCGCTGATTGATTTCTAGTGCGACGCAGATGGTGAAGTATAATGCGAATCGTAAGAACCTTTTTGCTCTTGCTATAAGTTTGGAGGGTTGGATCTGTCACTGACCTTGTGTAGTCGATGGCTTTCTGTCTAATTCATCATTGATTTTATCAGCGCTAAAATAGGGAGAGGGAACTTTTATCGAAAGGAATACAGAAGCATGGATAAGGCATCAGAGATACTTAAATAAATGAAGGATAGAGGGAGGCCAACTATCGAAACTTGACTTTGCTCAACGAGTGACTGTGCCAATTCGAAACGACTGTGTAATGCATCCTATCACCTAAAGTGGGACATGGCCGGGACATTTTTGGTTAAAAGATGGCATCCTATTGACGCTCCCCCTGATTCCAGCGAGGGTTCTCTTAGAGAGACTCTTCTCAAATCATGTTTGACGTTATGTGATAACATGCTCTAATGACAATGGAAAACACTTCACTAGCAACATACATCTCCACTGTCACAACGGCCTAACGAGCGATTGCCTCCATAGTGCGCACCCTCCTACGATCCTGCTCTAGGCAATCCTTAATAGCATTTGACAGCGCTGGCAATGTTGTCAAACCCATAGTCTGCCAATCTATTGACCCTCGAGGAAACAGTCAAAGCCTTCCCTCTGCAATTCACGTTTTCGTAGAGAATACAGGTAGTGCCGCCGTTTGGTGCGACGGAGGAAATCGAATCTCTGTATAAATTCAAGAAATTGTCTATTATTCCATTAGATTATGCCGTAAGGATGAAGTTCAGGCACTACAGCTTTATGTTTGGGCAACTCAAACAATTCAACAAGCCATCCCTAGAAAGGGGCAAGGTTAGGGGCAGAGGAGATTTGAGAGAGCGGAAGGACGTACAACACTGATTAGGATTAAGGTCGTCGTTACTGCAGCTTCCTTTGAAGTCGGGGTCCGTGCAGAACAGTTGATTGAGGTTGGCCGCAGACTCGCTGCGGATCTTGTTAGTGCGAACACAAGAATCTCTGGGATGTGGCCTGCCTTCTGGCGACCTCGATAGCTGGAGCTGCGAGGGCCTGGGCGGCGATGGCTAGGAGAGCGGTGATGGAGAGAGGGGTCTTCATCTTGCGAGTTATTGGATTTGCTCAAGAAAGAGGTGATGGAATGTGGAAGGAGTTCCGCAGAGTTGAAGGTAAGTGTTGTTGATGCTAGATCATCGGAGGAAGCAGGCTAATTTATATGCGCAGGATCCCCGTTGAGTGTGGTTGTCCTGGGGAATTTTTCGCAGTCAACGGTGAGGATGTATGCCCTCAGCTCGCACGAAATGACAAGCCTGAAAGTGTGAATGCTGAATCGAGGGCGTGTGCTAATTTAAATTCTGCTCGACTTGGGGACGTGGAGATATTGGCTCTTGAACCTGGACAAGTGCCAAGCTTTCGGGCGACACCAACAGGGTGTCAATGTTGGTATCAAAATGGCGCATAGGTAAATGCACAAAGTCAGGCCCAGTGTAAGGAAGTAGCACTCGAAGCTCGAAGCCCAGTATTCACAGCAAGGACGCGCTCTACAATTGCGTTAGTGATGTGGTCTTGCTTGCAATACTCCACCGTGATCAGCCACCAAGAATGCATGTTCTTGAAGACTGAGCTTCAGCATGAATCGAAAGTAGCTGTGTTGCTCGTCTCTAAGTCCGTCTAAGTTTATACCTATCTGTCCACCGATGTCGCTGTAAACCGCTCAACATAAACCTCGTGAATTTTGTATTCTAGGCCCTTCATCTTCCATTCCACGAGTCCTAGTATCGTGCGATCGATCTTCACGGAGATTGGAATATCATCTTATGCACCCGAGAAAGGTGCCATATATATTCACGGTTCCTGAGCCCCCACTAATTTGGCACCCTCTTATTCCTCTTTCTCCAACTTCTCACCCCGGCATCCATTTCCTCTCTGGTGACCCCATCCCTTACCAGCCACATTACCACTCCTAACACCTCAACATTCTTATTCCGACTCTCATCGTCAAAGAATAGCATATCCTCATACTCGATCCCGCTCTCTCTGTTTATGCGTTCGAAATGGCTTGTTTTGCTTCCGGGATAGATTTGCAGGTAATCAAAGTAGTCGATCGCACGGTGTGAGTCCTTAGGCGAGGAGGCGTTTGGGATCTTGAGGAGCTTCAGCATTTCGCGGCCGAGGTCGGGGGCGTGGGTTCGCGAGGCGGCGCCGATTTGGATGCCTTTCTGCCGGAGCTAGCACAAGTTAGTATGCCTTGGGGGATGGAAATAGTATTGAGGTATTACAGCATCCAGAACTCCGCCGACATCAGCGAAGAATCCATAGCCTTCCCCGTATCGATCCTTGACCTTCAATCCGCCTTCTAGAGCCTTGAGAGGCGGTGTGACGTGGGTGTCTACCCAGAATGGCCATAGGGTGTAGTCAAGATCAAACACGACGAGCTTGGGAAGGGGCAACCCGTCGGTAAAAGTAGATGGCCATACTTTCTTCTGGGAAAGCGATGTGGCAGTGGAGGTGGGGTCGTTTGAGGGGGCTGCGCTGCCGGCGCTACGGCGAGGCATTGTGGGTATGGGCGAGAGGTACAAATTATGGGTTACCAGGTGGCTCGAGCACGCTAATATAATCAAGGAGAAGAGCGATCTAGTAGCCAGTATTTAGCGAATTTGAGTGTTGGGAGTGTGAGGCGTGGTAGATAGGTGGCGTTGAGGCTTGACGTCAACGTAGATCCTGCATGAATTGGTATCGCTGAGAAGGCCAAGACTCTAACATCTATCAATCTCACAGCAATCGACAGGCTTTTGGAGAGTTGCCTAAACAAGAAACTAGGCCACAAAATAAGGGATGAAGAGCCTTGCTGCGACTGACGACTTTCAAATTTGCCTGAATAAGTAAATACTTTGTCGTGTCACCTAACGCGGAGCATGGTAGGTAAATCTGTGACAAAAATTTACATCCTATTGATGCTTTTCTTGGCTCCAACAAAGATGTTGAACAGAGTGACTCTGCCCTAATTATGTTCCACGTCATGTGATTATATGCGAGAAAGTGGGAACTTTCGTCTACTGCATGGCGACGCCAACTCCGGAATATGAACAAGAAGAAAATGCTCTCTTGCGGACGATAGAATCAAGAAGGCCATCGAGAGGACACGAGTTCCTATCTTAAATCCCGGAATTCGCCTGCGGACGAATGAATAACCAACCCCGGACTCTCGCTGCCATCATGAGCAGAACAATCCACTACTGAAGTTTCTCATGACCGGATAGAAGCTAACCTACTTCGGGGGCACCTACAGATGGAGTCTTTGGTTCCTTGCCTCTGCTTCAGAGTCCGCAAACGGCGCGTCGAGTGCTGCAGATGCGCACATATCGACGCTGCAACCTTTTTTAGGAGCCTTCGGAGAAAAGAAGTGATGTGAGGGAGAGGCTGCGAGATTAAGATTGCGAATGCAAGCGCACCCAGTCACACTGCAGGTATCTCGGGCGGTGTGGAGGGTTGCATCGAAGGGGGCTTCGGTAGTCCGGAGCTTGAGCGGAAGAGGCGCACAGAACGACTACCATCCCCGCGTCTCACTGACTTCGGCGGCTGATCATCCCCAACATCACTTGTCCCCTTCACGCTTTACCATCACATCGCTGAAAAGAAGGCCTGTGGGATGCGTCGAGTGGAGACGTTTCTGCGTACGCTATCAGTCTCTTCAATACTTAATCAAAGTGCCGACGCGTTCAACATCATGAGCCCAATATTAGCCTACTAAATCGCCTGGCCGCTGACCGGAGGAATGTCCCCTGAACGCTACATATCCATTGCCCGTCTTGTACCCAAAAGGTAAGGTATGACCAGCATCTTCTGTTTAATTAAACAGTAGCGTTCTTGATCAACAGCAGGATGGACGCGGTTTCCAGGTCGCTGCCTTCCAGCAGGGCCGTTCGTTCCCTGGAAACACGCTGCTCTTTTTGGTAGCAATATCATCGCTCCAATCGTGCACCCACGCCGAGGCACACAAGCGCTGGGAAATATGCTGGGATCAATGCGAATCCTCTGCAGTAAATCTGCTTTAATGCAGGTACGCGGCTCGATACTCGAGTAAACACCCCTGCTCCGTTGCTCCACCAATACTGGCTTTGCACGGGCTGTCCTGGCTGGGTCTGGGGTAGGTCATGATCTGGGAAAGTAACCGTCTGTGCAAATTCTATCTTACCTATCGAAGGAGCGTCATGCGACCCTTCTACGCGTTAGCTTCGTGATAATAATGTCGTCTGCCGCCTCGCTGCCGAGCATGTGGGCCGGCCGAAACGGTGTGGAGTGCTTGGGCGTTACTGCCGCTAGAGTATAAAGCTCTGAGATATCACCCTCTCTCTCCTCCTGGACAGACTGCGGGGACGCAAACATGTTCACCAACCTTATTCTTACGCTTGTGACAGCCCGTCTCGCGGTCGCGGTTCCTGCGCCACGATATGATGTGCCACCGGACCCTCCAAATGTGAACATCTCTTTTCCCCCAACGAGTCTTGGTACGAAGTGCCCTGGATACGTGGCATCGAACATCGTCAAAACGGACTCGTCCCTTACGGCAGACCTCACCCTCGCTGGCCCAGCTTGCACTCTGTACAGCGAGGACCTCACCAATTTGAGATTGTTGGTCGAGTATCAAACCAGTACGTCTCGCTTATAGTGTTAGAAACACAGGTTTCGTTTACTTCACGCATTGACTCTATTTGGAGCATCATACTAAAGCATCTTTAGATGACCGGCTCCACGTCAAGATTTACGATGCCGACCTGAGCGTGTTCCAGGTCCAGGAAGAGATTCTGCCGCGGCCTCCAAACAACAACGCCCAGTCGTCCAATGCCGCGTTGCAATTTGACCTCGTAGAAAAGCCATTTTCTTTTACTGTCCGGCGAAAGGAGAATAATGAGACACTATTTGACACCTCTAGCACACAGTTGATATTCGAGTCGCAGTATGTGCGTTTGCGAACGAAGCTGCCAACAAATCCAAATCTGTATGGGCTCGGAGAGCACAGCGATCCGTTTCGACTCCCAACCCAAAAGTACCAGCGTGTCATGTTCAACGCGGAGTCGCCGTTCATTCCTCATAACAGTAATCTCTACGGTAGCCACCCTGTGTACTTCGAACACCGAGGAGACAAGGGCACGCATGGAGTGTTTCTGCTCAATTCGGACCCGATGAACATCAACATCAACCGAACCGATGACGGAGGACAGTATCTTGAATACAACACTATTGGTGGAGTCATTGATTTGTATTTTATGGCCGGAAAAGGACCCGCAGATGTCTCTAAGCAATACGCCGACATTGTGGGATATTCACCTATGTATCCATACTGGACCTTTGGTTTTCACCAGTGCAAGTATGGCTACTGGGATGTTAACTACGTTGCTGAAGTCGTTGCCAACTACTCGACCGCCAATATCCCTTTGGAAGTTATGTGGACTGATATTGACCATATGAACCTTCGCCAGGACTTCACTCTAGACCCAGAGCGCTTCCCGTTGCAGAAAATGCGAGAGCTAGTAGCTACTCTACACAGCCGCGATCAACGTTACGTTCTCATCCAAGACCCCGGGATCCACGCTAACATGAGTTACGCTACTTATGCTCGTGGTCTCGATCGAGACGTTTTCTTGAAGAACGCTGACGGGTCTCCTTATCTGGGTGTACAATGGCCTGGCGTTGTAGCATGGCCGGATTGGTTTGCGCCAAATACTAAGAGTTGGTGGACGGATGAGATTATGCGGATATTCAATCCAGAAACCGGGGTTGATATTGACGGTATTTGGGTCGATATGAACGAGGCCTCTAACTTCTGTCATGACCCGAATTGCAATCCTACACAGCTTGCAATAGACGAAGGGGATCCACCACCACCACAACATTCTCCTCGTAACAATACTGGTCGTCCGATTCCCGGCTTTCCAGTTGATTTCCAACCAACAACCACTGGATCTCCTTCGATCAAAGCACGAAATTCGAAGCCACTGTACCCCAGGCAAACGGGGAATGGTACGATGAAAGGCCTCCCAAATCGGGACTACTTCAACTTTGCATACCACGTCAACAATCACCGTGGCAATCTCAGTGACTTTACCATCTACCTCAACAACACGAACCGCGACGGCACAAAGCAATACGACACGCATAACTTCTACGGCCACATGATGTCTCACACCACGCACTCCAGCATGCTCACCCGCCGCCCTTCGCTCCGTCCCTTCGTCCTTACGCGCTCTACATTCGCTGGCTCTGGGCGCAAAGTCTCTCACTGGTTCGGTGACAATGAATCCTCATGGGAGCACTACCGGACCTCAATCCGTCAAATGCTCGCCTTCGTCGCCATGCACCAAATGCCACTTGTGGGCTCCGACGTTTGTGGATTCAACAATGACGCTTCAGAATATATGTGCGCACGCTGGGCCCTCCTCGGCGCTTTCCAACCGTTCTACCGCAACCACGCCGAAATCTCTGCGCGCCCACAGGAATTCTACCAATGGCCTAAAACCATTCTCGCTGCGCAAAAGGCCATTTCTACGCGCTACAAGCTGCTGGACTACATTTACACCGCTCTGTACCACCAAACCACCGACGGAACACCCATGATAAACCCTCTCTTCTTCCTGTATCCAAACGACGCTAATACATTTAATATCCAACATCAGTGGTTCTACGGCGACGCGATACTCGTCTCGCCTGTCACAACCGACTTCTCAGATTCTGTGACGTTTTATCTGCCGCAGGATACGTTTTATGATTTCTGGACTCATGAGCAGGTTAATGGTCAGGGCATGAATGTCACGAAGAGTAATTTGACGGAACTCGATATCCCTGTACACATCCGCGGAGGAACTATAATCCCCATGCGTACAAACTCTGCAAATACAACGAAGGCCCTCCGACGCCAGGATTTCGTCGTGCTTGTCGCGCCTGGCGCTGATGGGACGGCGAAGGGCAGGTTGTATCTTGATGATGGAGAGAGTATTCAACAGGATGGTGTGTCGGAGATTGAGTTTACTTGGGATGGGAGGAAGTTTGCTGCGGCGGGGAAGTTTGGGTATGGGGGGATGAGTGGGGAGAGTTTGACTGTGGAGAAGGTGACGGTTTTGGGGCAGGAGAAGGCGGGGCAGAGAGGAGTGTTTGATGCGGGGGAGAGGAGTGTTACGGTGCAGGGGCCGTGGAAGCTGGAGGGGGCTTTTGGGTTTGAGGTTTGACGGAGAGAGAGAGATAGTAGGTGATAGAGCATTGGGTGGAGTTTTGGTAAGGGGCTGGATTTCTGGGGCATGGATGGTCTGGCCTTTGCTTTCTTTTGTTCATTCATCCATTTCCGCTTTCTTTCTCGAGTCTTGTCTTGCTACCTACGAGTTTCCCTTCCATGTACATTACGCCTCCACGGTTATTTTCTACAGACGGACGTTGGCTGGTCCTCTGCAGAGAGGTGGCCCTTTCTCCTTCGTCATTTTCTTCGCTGTATAAATAGCACTATCCAGGCATCGACCATACATAAGAGTAATGTCTACAACGAGTATATTACTACCCTTACTGCGTCTTTCAACCTTTCCTCTACTTGGCAGGGCATCTCCCACCTGCTCTGCCCGTAGCGCACAACAATCACATAATCCTGGCCCCATAATTAGCCCATGCACTCCTAAATCGGCTTGGTCGAAATTGTCCCGCACGTGTGATTCGTGGTGCGTGTGACAGAGTGCCCGTGAATCCATGCAGGGATTGGGGACCGGTGGCACCACGAGGCCAGCCTTCAAGCCTGTTCATCAAAACGTCGCATGGCTGCAGGGAACCCACCCAGGCGCTCGAGAGACCGCCGAAAGGGGGAGGTGAGGGAAATTGGGAGATAGGGTGGAACGTGGGATCGGGCCGTGATGTGCAGCGTTGCGCGGGTGACGTCAGCACGGGAGATGGTTGGTGAGCGCTGGAGGGGTAAGTGGAATGTGTTCTCGGGATGAGAAATGTAGGGAGGATTTATATGTCGTTTTTGGTCAGCCGGTATTTGTGCTGCAGCGAGGCGTGTGTATGGTGTCGCTCTCCGGAGGTATCTGCGTGATGCCTCGAGGCTGCTAGGCACGGTTTTCAATCTCCCGTAATGTGTACTCGGGTCAAGCCGTTGGTGACGCATTGCACCACGCCATTTTCCTTCTCTTGTACTTCATAGTCAACTTCGATACTGTTCTTGGGTCGATTCTTGTTTAGTCCTTCGAGCAACACACACGCTTTGCAGATCTCCTGACTGGAGAGGTATCCACAGCGCTTGCATTGCCCCATCACTTGTTTGGGGTTCTTGCGTGGTGTGATTGCTAGTCCCTTCTTCTTTCTCCCATTCTTTCCGTTCGCAGCTTGCACTGCCTTGACGGTGTGCTCCTCTAGCTGGCTGCTGGTAATGTGACTGGATGTGATCTCAACCTCGAGTCCGGCTTCGGCGGCAACATCGTTTTGGGCGAGTTGAAGTTCCATGTTAGCCATTTCCCCACCCGCAGTCCTTCCGTTTGAACTCCCGCATCCGCCTTCTTCTTCGGCTGCGGGAGTGGCGCTGGAACACGTCCTCTCACAGCTTACGTCACTCCCCGGCACTAGCTTTGCCATGTCCTCTCCGCTTCTCACTACGTCAAGTATGGCACTTGGTCGGACCCGCTCGAGGTTTTTGATAAGTGCACGAGCGCTGCCGCGAAAAGCTTCGGGAGAGTATATGCATTCGGTACTGAAGTAGTCGAGATTCTTATGGTGGGCATAGAGGACGATTTCCTTTTCGTAGGCGTATTTCAAGGGCTTGCTGCGCTTGATGTTTGTGTGTGAGTTTGGGTCGGATGAGACGGCGGACGGAGTGGATGTTACAATGGACGTGGTTCTCGAAAGTCGCGGGAGGTCGCCGCGAAGCACTGTGCATGGTCAGCCACTCTTCACTTATCACCCCCAAGGTAAGAAGGCCATACAGTTCATAAGCACCGTCTCGGCAACGTCATCCGCATTATGTCCGGTAACCACATGTCTCACCCCCAACCTCGCCGCACCTCGATCCAGCGCTTGCCGTCTAAACACTCCGCAATACGTACAATTCCCCTTCTTTCCCACCTGCTCCACCACCTGATCCATCGTCCACCCATACAGCTCATCATACCCCAGAATGGTCAATGGCATATCATACTGCTTTGCATTCCTCTTTACTGTCTCGAGTGAGTCATCGCGATACCCTTTAATGCCTTCGTCGATGGAGAGCAGAATGAGCTCGACGCCGTAGTCATAGCGCTCGTTGAGGGTCTTAAGCACGGATGCGAGAACCGTGCTGTCCTTGCCGCCAGAAGCGCCGATTGCGATTCTCTCGCCACGGTAGAAGAGGGTGTTTGTGGTGATGGTGTGGTGGATTTCGGTCTCGAAGACGGAGATGAAGCAGGATTTGCAGAGCTTCGAGTGGTCTTTAGGGCGGAGAATGAGGGCGCGGTTAGTTTTGCATAGCGCACAGGGTGCGGGGGGCATTTTGGAAAGGACGTCGAGCTTGAGGGTGCTTGAGGAGAAGAAAGAAAGAGGGGAGGAGACTTGACGATTGGTGTGGCTTGAGTGTGGCTTGCGGCCTTGAACAACACCACGGTGCATTAATTCGTTCCCGCTTGACGAAGAAATACCAACGCTGAGCCAATTTCAACAGCACATCCTCATATAACAACAAAGGAAGGTCGAACCAAGTCAAGTCATAAACTCCTAGTGCTTGTACCTCTCCATGCATCATGGCTGCCCCTCGAGGCTCCACATCAACACAACACTCTTCTACTGCACCACCACCCAGGCTTGTAGAAAGATAGACTATTTCTTATATGGAAATGATTACCTTGCAATGCTCTCCTATGTGTACCTTTTTAACTTGGTTTTGCTTGTGTGGCGTTGCTATGTTTCTGCGCCGAAGTTGGTGACTTTGGGCTGAGGGCGTAGCGCCAAAAACAGCTGGCCTCCATTGCTTCACTTGCACCATTCTTTCGTTTCCTGTCGTACCAATGCGTCTGAAATCGTTACTAGGAACCCCCTAATACCGGTTCGTAACTTTGTATTTGCGTCGAGCGTCCCCTGGACCTCACAGCTTTCCTTCCAGAGAGCTCCACAGCTACCCCGCCTTCACTGCCATGATAAGTCCGCGCGGCCTCATGTGCATCCTCATCAGCACCTCGCTCCCGTGCATATATGAGAAGAGCTAGAATCGAGACATGATGCTTTGTAAGAAGCGACTAGCATAGGTCTTCTAGTTGTGTGCTGACGCGAACAACTGTCAGGACCCAGAGCCACTTGTTTCAGAGTTCGGTGTGCCATCTGATCCGATATCACATTTCACATCTTGGTAGACCTAAAGTACATTATAATTACATTATAGCCATATCTTTTCAGACTGCCAGCCAACGAATCACAATGTCAGCTACTCCCATGGTAGAAGATGCAGACTTCATGGTTCGCCCCGCTGTGTCGGTGCAGGAAGCACGAGAGGTGTGGTGGCCTTTGATGAAAGAATTAGGATGGGTATGGTACTCCTGCAATGTCGCCCTCCTCCTTCCTTAACCCTCTCACTCACCGTTCGCAAGAATCGAGACTACGACGACGCCGCCACCCACTACCACGTCTCCCGAAACGGCTCGGGCTGGCTCATCCTCATCCCCAGGGAAACAGGAAAGCCCGAGGGCTGTGTTGTGGCATTCACATATCCTAATGGCACTGGGTGGGTTGGATTTTTCATCGTCAATGCGGCATATCGAGGAAACGGATGGGGACGGGCTCTGTGGAAGGCGCTAGAAGAGTCTTACAACACGACCAGCACTGCTATCGTTGGGTTGGATGGTGTTGAAGCGCAGGTCAACACGTATAGACGGCGGGGTTTTGAAGACATGGCTAGAATTAAGCTCATGGTGCGACCGTCGCTGGTTGAGAAACCTCTTGCTACCGCGCGTCCCAAACCTGGCGGAGAAGAGCAGATTGTGGATATACGAGATGTGGATACAAAGGCACTCGCTAAACTAGATCTAGCGCATACAGGCCTCGAAAGGACCGCGTTGTGGACACAAGACGCACTCTTCTTCCGAAAAGATGCATTTGGCCATGCCCTCCTGTCGAATTCCCATGGCACAACCAAGCTATCCGGCTTTGTGCTTGTTCGACGCTGTGAACATGGGCATCGTTTTGGTCCACTCTACGCCGGGACCTACGATCAAGCCTTGCTATTACTACAGACGTCCATGGAGGCGATCCAAGAGTCAAAGGGAAGCATGATAGCGGAGATCTTTGGTAGCCATCCTGAGGGCATGAAGGTATTCGAAGAGCAGGGTTCCCAACCGTACGTACTACGAGTCGTAGTATACGACCCGTAACAGTCACGTGAGCCGTTGAAACGTAGGAGAGATATGAGTTGTAACGTATAACTGGAGGAGCGCCTATTACAGACTGTAGTACGTCTTAAAAAGGCGACTTTTCCTACTAAAATAGGACCTAATTAGACACATGTAGGATTGTGTTAGAAGCATGTTTAAGGTTATGTTCTTAGAGTAATAATTAAGTAAAAACTCTAAGGTTTGTAGAACATTAGCGCTTATAGTAGAGGCTAAGAGTAAAGTGTGCTATTCTATATAAATAGTTAGCTTTTTAGCCTGTAAATTATTATTAATTTATCTACATTTATTGTTTTACCTACTATAAGCTAAATGTCCTAATTTCTCTAGCGCGGCAGGTGTACTGCTTTATTCTAAGGATTTTTTAGAGCTAGCTCTTTCTAGTAAACTAATGTATTTTATTATACTAGTTTTTATTGCCTTACTAGGTTAAAGGCTTTATTATCTTCCTCTTTAGTTTTATTTTAAGGCAGTACACTATCTAATGCTTATTTAAAGAAGTACTTAGCTAACACTAGTCTTAACAACAAAGTAGCTTTTACTATAAAGTAAAATAACCTCTAGCTAGCAAACAGAAAGCTAAGGCCTAAAAAAGTTAGGTATTATATAAAGCATAAGAGCTAGCTCTGTGGGAACTAGCAGCTCTTCTAGATTTAGCAGCATAGAGCAGATTTAGTGTACAACAATAAAGAGGACAGCTCTAAAGTAAAGCTATAGCTCTGTAAGAGGTGCCACGCTAGGGGCGTTTATAAAAGGGTAAAGAAAGTTAACAGTTACACTTATATTATAAGCTACCTTAAGAAAAAACATAAGATTAATGTTTTTAAAAAAGGTCTTTTACTTAATATGCTAAAAATTTTAGTAAGTCTATTTAAAGCTACTTATAAAGTTGCTAGCTTATTATATATTATCTCTTACAGTGTGTAGTAGGAGAAAGTGTTGTAGGTAGCAGTTGTTAATTAAGTTATTTTTTATAACATTTCTTTTAACACAGCATTATTAGTAGAACTTTAGAGCATTTTTACTTAAAACTAAGCTAATCTTCTTGTAGCTTTTTTAGTCTTAGATACTACATTTTCTTTCTACATAAATAAGGCCTGCCTGCGCTAGAGAGTAGAGATTTAAATAATACTAAAAATAGCTTAAAGTAAAATTATGTTAAGTGTTAATATATAAACTTCTCTAAACTACCTTTTTTTTCTAGGTGTAGTGTTGCACTTTATTAGTATGTATACTTTAGCTTATTATTTTAGTGCTTTAGCACTGTAAAAATTAACAATAACACACTTACTTATACTAATATAGATATTAACTACTAGCACTATAACATACTTATTAGCTTTTACAACCTATATAGTAACTATATAGGGGTAAACTAAGCTAGGGAGATTATTAAGGTTATTAATAACTTTAAAATTATGTTAAAATTTTATTGTTTAGTAGCTAATAACATGTTAAATAATAATAATAAAACTATCTCTACTTTTACATAATATTTTAAAAGGCCTCTTACCTCTAAGCACTGTATACACTGCGCTAGTTATACAATCTAGCTAGTAGTTAAGGCAGTTATATATAGAAAAAAGATAAACACTTTTAAAGCAGCGCTAGCCTAAGCTGCTTCTTAGGATTAATTTAAACTATACTATTAGCATAAAGTTATAAGTAAGCTTTATAACTTTATAAATACAGTGTTAGCGTTACATAAACGCTAGAAGGCTTTTATAACTTTTTAAGCTACTTTTAATAATAAGGACCTTTTCTAGAGCTTTAGGACCCTTAATCTTATATAAAATAGTAGTGTACGCTAGCACAGCGTCTATTTTATGCTCCTCTGCTGTTACAAGCTTAAGGACACTATTACTAAGTTTATTTATAAGCAGAGAGGCACTAAGAATAATAGTGCTAACTCTACTATTTTTAGTAATGCTACTCTTACTAAGATTATTACTAAAAATAAATAAAAAAAGGTTAATTACTTTTATAAGTTTCTTAAAGTTTTTTACTTTATAATAAAACACCTTAAGGGCAAGGGCTTGTACAGATCCTTATAGATAACTGTTGTTAACCTATAACACCTATATACTAAGCTTCTCTAGATAGGGGATAAACTTAAAGGTAAAAGTAATAATTACTACTTTAAATCTAGCGTAGCATTTAGCATAAAGAAGTTGCTTACATACTAGAAAAAGTTTATTATAAAGCTGCTTATATTTTATTATTATATTATAACTATTTTTAACTTTTAGCTTTATCTTTTTTAGTTTAAGGACTACTAGCGTAAGCACTTTTTATAGTATAAAAAAGCTAAGGCTTTAATAAAAGCTGTTTTTTAAGAGTACATTAATACTAAAGTAGAGGCAGAGGTAAAGAATAATAAGTAACTGCTATTTACATAACATAAGTTACTAAGTGGCAAGTATTATAATAAGGGCTTTAAGTAGACTTTTTCTGTAGACATAAGCCTTCTTACTAGTAATTATTTATATAAAAAGCAGCAGAAAATAATAGAATTGCAGTAATACTATAATAGTTACTATAAAGATGTTACTATAGCTAAGAATAATAGCCCTTTATTTACTAATTCTTTTATATAGTAAGAATAAGTTAAACAGCTTGCCTATTTTATGCTATATAAAATTGCTTTTAACTTCTTGTCTATTTTATTTACAAGCTGTAACTGTGAGAGAAGCTTTAGTAGTAGTAAAAGAACTATTACTTATAACAAAAATAAGCTTTTTAGCCTAATAATTAAGGCTCTTTAACTATAGAAAAACTAGCTATGTTAGCGCTGTGTTTATAGTAAATTATTATCCTTAGTAGACTATATATAAGCTGTTACAACATAACTTTTTATAAAATGTTAAAATGTAGAAGAAATGTAAATTATAACAGTTACGCTTTATAAGTAGACTTAAATGTTATGCTTACATTAAAACATACTCACAATCTAAGAAGTTACAACTATTAATTTGGCGAGTCGTAACGTATTACGTACGGTTGGGAACGCTGTCGAAGAGCTTGGATGGGAGTATGCTGGCATGGATTACCACCGCATGTGGCTTGGGGGAAGGGTGCCAAAGGAACAGCAAGAAGGCGGAAGAGGGACTAGAGGGATGTTCGCCATTTTTGACGCTTCCGAGGGATGATTTTCTCGACTTCTTTGAGCATCTTCAAATCCCCGCATCTCTCCACTCCTCGAGGAATTTTTGATGGTTATATCTTGGATCCAAGGTCTAACAAAGTTATCGTGACAAGCTTATTGAGCCAATTCGAAAGAGTATCATCATTTAGCTATCAAGGATACGTAGGAGCCCTAAAATACAGCAATGATATCATCCAGAAGGTACTAATACAAGCATCAATAAGCTTCCCCCAAGATCTCGCCGTTAACCGGGCGAATTGGAACCCCTGGCTTTTCCAGTATCGCGCATGCTTGAACCACGAATTTTGAAGAGGGGACATGACGCGGGAGGCTAAACGCAGGCATACCTTCGCTGATATGTAAGAACGGCAAGGTACGTAGATAGTCTTGATCTTTTCTTTTTTCTTTCTTCCTGACTTCAGTCTCTTGCTTTAAAAGTGGTGGAAATGAGAGTCCTGATGCTGCTGAGCTTTTTCGTAGCACTAGGAGCAGGAACACCAGCACTGAGATTCCGGGTTTCGGGGGGTTTGGACGCCTGGCTGGGGAAGAGACAGGCTGCTTCGGCAGCCTATGCGCCTTCTTCTATTGATATGCCAATATGTTTTAATTAACCGTGGTCTCTAAATCCTAATTTACCATTACTAGATCGACCACTTGCCACACAAATCCCAATATGAACCCCACGTGAAAGGCACCTTCAAGCAAAGATATTTCTTCGATTCAAGTTACTATAAGTTGGGTGGTCCTGTGTTTCTCTACATTGGTGGGGAGACGAGTGGTGATAGTCGGTTTTCGAATTTGCAGACCGGAAGTACATATTTTCTAAACAAGACAGTCTCCAGCAACCCAGGGGGCTAAGCAGTCGTCGTAGTCATTCAGATTTTGATGGTGGAAGATTTTAATGGTATGGACGTGATTCTTGAGAATAGGTATTATGGGAAGAGTTTTCCTTTTAATTCGAGTACGACAGATGAGTTGAGGTATTTGACTACGGAAGAAAGTGAGTGTAGCTACACACGACATGGTTGACTCCTGCTATGACCTTGCTATATCTAATCTTTCAAAGCCATTGCCGATAATTCCTACTTCGCGCAAAACCCCACCTTCCCTAGCATCAACGACACTCTAAACGCACCCACCACACCATGGATCATGTATGGCGGCAGCCTAGCCGGTGCGCAAACTGCTTTTACTATGAAAGTGTACAATTCCATCTTTGCTGGCGGCATTAGGAGCAGTGCGACTGCACAAGCTCTTCTTTCTTATCCATATTGTATGATCTTATTGTCAAGTTTGGACCTTCGGACTGCGTGTCTAGAATTATTGGTATTGTAGATAAAATAGACGATTTGATCAATAGCGGAGATGAGGACGGGACTCAAGAAGCGAAGGAAATCTTCGGATTGGAGGCGTTAGAGAGTTCAGGCGATTTTGCAATCACAATTGCGTTCCCAAGCAAGTTCATTCATATCCTGCGTTTTGAAAGACGAGAAATGAAACAACTCTAGGAAGCCGATAGTTGCTAGTTGGTGGTCCAATGTTCTACCCCACAAATACCTGGCAAGAACTTAACTGGTCTCCTCGCTATGGCTCCGAAGACTTCTTCTACTTCTATTCCAACGTCACAAATCCCTCCCTCAGAGAGTATATCCAGGGCGAATACGCAACTATCAAAGTACTCCGATGGCGATGCTTGGACCAGTCTCGGCGGCTACGCGGATTATGTGAAAAAAACACTAATCCCGGATTGTGAGTCTGGGAGGATTACGAGTACAGATGAAGGGTGCTTTGGGGCGCAGAACCAGACCTATTGGGGGGACGCGAGTAATGGAGGGGGCCGGTCGTATCTGTATTCCAGTAAGTTGGGTGGGGCTTCTAGATATGAGGAGAGAAGATAGGTAGGAGCGATGCTGACAAGAGTAGCCTGCTCGGAACAAGAAGCCTATCAAGTCGCTCCCACTCACGGTCCGTCCCTAATATTTCGAATCCTAGTTCTGGGATTAAGAATGTTAGTGCTGAGCCGAATTATATAAGGGAAGCACATCGATGGGAGATTAACGCTGTGTAGAGGTTTATGGAGATGTGGAAGGATAGGTGAGCGGGAACTGTGACGAGTGAACGTGTTAGCTGCCGATAGATATTTGGATAATGTAGAAAGATTGGACGTACGTTGAAGGGAGAATGAGCGAGAAGTTGGTGTCCTCCTTCCTTGCACAATAGTCAATATCTTGCTAGAGGTAAGCACGTTCATAGAATGTATATATTGGTTTTTACACTTCTCATAGCCTGGATGAGGCCCATTGCAATGTATTCTTCCACTATTGTCGATCTGATTTCATTCATATACCGCAACAAATAGCTTTAATTTTTTATCTACTCTTAGCCTGTCGTTTCCTTCAGAAATTTTGCCAATAAAAAAAATCTCGAAACCGTTCGCGCCCCACAAAAAAACCTTTAACATCCATCCCTGGGTGGCCAGACACCCTCTGTGCCGAGAAATATAAGGGTATTTCGACTTTGAGTAGTTCGATTTCTGTGCACACATTAATATTTGCCACAGATCTTTATAAGTTGTGGGCTATAGCTATTTTATAAACACCTAACCCCTCCTATCTAAAAATTACTTTACATAGTTGCTTTTATGCTTAAGTTACAAAGAGCCTTCCTTTGCACATAACGGCGTTCCTTTTTGACAACACTACTATTATCTTTTATTATTCTTAATACTAATAAAAGGGTCTTATCAGAATTTACCTGAGAACTTTGCTGCAACTCTTAGGAGTTAGTACTCGCATCTGCTGCCGCACGCAAATTCGCGCAGGCTCACTACCCTAATTGGTACCTCTAATAAAAGCGATAACTAATCCCAGAGAGCGGAAAGCAGTCATATAACCATTACAATATAATTACTTACAGTAGCTGCCGCGCCTGTAGCTGTATGAACTCTTGGCAAGCGGCCTGACCCTTAGTCCTGCAACCTTGTGATAAAACTCAACATTGTATGCCTCAAGTTAACGAACTCGCCTCTTACAGAATTCGCCACCCCACAAGGTCATGGTCTAAGAGGGTCGGTTGTCCTCCCTGTTGGCAGTTGCAATATCGTGTTCTACTGGAGTACTTGTCATGCTGCTACTTGACACCGACCATGGGGGCATTTAAGAGGCAGAAGGTGATCGAGATATATTGTTACCGATGTTGATGAGATGCTAATATAATGTTGTTAGGCCAATTCATCGTAGTGGTCTTGACAGACATCTGTGTCAACTGATACAACTCAAAATTGATCTCGAGCCCCCCAGAATTACCTGTTCTCAGCTCTCCGAATTGCAAGAAGAATTGGCCGTATATGTGTCAATTCCCCAAGGTCGAGCAGTTTACGTCATTCAGGATACAACTAATAAGCACCGCTGGGGAAAATGCCGCGACCCACATCTGGAGGCTGAAAATGTTTGTTCTGATATCCCTCGTTTCGGCATACCAAGTGGATGCGGCGGCGAGGGGAAGCTTCAGCTTGATGCAAGAATGGTGCGGTGCGGTTGTCAGATCTAAATCTGCTCTCAGCCTTGGCTCACCTATCAGGGATCATATCGAGCGCCACCAACGAAAACCTCAACTTTCCACTTTTTAAAGGCATTCTCTATCAATGGCACCGATGCCTTATTGAATCAGGGCTCTACTTTTCATTCGGACGGATAGAAGTAGAAATGGCGCCTGCCAGTGCAGTTCAGAACTCATGCCACTCCCCATTTCAACAACTCGTATGTGACTTCACAGCCTTGCCATCTGCAAAGCTTTTCAGATTTCTGCAGCCTGCAACTAGTAAGCGACAGACAGCACATCCTCCTCTCAGCCCTCGCTCCCTCTACGCTTCGATGCTTGCGGCTGAGATCCCCTGTCACCGCAGGTGCCCTGAGTTGGTCGCCGTTCAGAAGCCTCGTGCTAAGATGTGAGATTTGCGAATCCCGCCATTTGCAACTGGTTGAAGGCTAGTTTTGGTGTATTTTGTGCTGTCACTGCACTTTCGCGACAGCTTTTGCGCGGTGAAAGGAGCATCAGCTGGCGCCCAATACTACGATAGAAGAGCTTTCCAAGGCATGCCAGTATGGATTAACTACTTCTGGCATACCTAGAATTGACCGTCATTGCGCTTCTATTGAATATATAAGGGAGGCTAGTACTCTCAATATCAGGCTATCAACTCAACATCTTCATCTTTTCCTTCAAGAAATTAGATCCAACAGACCGTACTCTTTCCTTAGCCCCCCACATTCAAAATGGCTGCAGTAGACACTCTTGCCAGCTTTCACTCTTGTGCTCAACTCGGAGCCACCCTACCATCGGTAGATAACCCAAGTGGTGAGGATCGTCTTGCGCTTGACAACAGAAGTTTGTGGCCTAATGGCACCGAGCTCATTGTCAACATGTGGGGGTATGTCCCTCCCTTATATCTCTTCTTTCTCCAGCTAACAACTTCATCAGCCAAAGCGACTTCGTTCGCAGCAAGGTCATTCAATACGCAAACGAGTGGTCACTCTACGCCAACCTGACCTTCAAATTCATGGACCGAGACGCTCCCGGAGACTCTGATATCCGCATTTCGTTCACCTCCGGCGCTGGTTCCTGGTCCTACATCGGCACGGGTGCGAAGACAATCTCACAGAGCGAACCGACCATGAACTTTGGCTGGTTCAACGACGAGACCTCAGATGAGGAGTTCAGCCGAACCGTGATCCACGAATTCGGCCACGCTATTGGATGTATCCACGAGCAGGCATCACCAGTGGTCGATATCCCATGGAACAAGCCCGCGGTCTACGAGTACTACCTGCGAACCAATGGCTGGGACCAGGCCAAGGTTGATGGCAATGTCTTCGCGAAGGCCGCTCAGGCGAATACTCTGAACTCGAACTGGGATAAGACTTCCATTATGTAAGCCTTGCTCCTCCCTCCCCAACTCTGCTTAATTCAAATATCCCACCCGGAACAGACAATAACAGAACAAAAAGGCAATACCCATACCCACCTGAGCTTACACTTGACGGCTCTTCCGCAGGGTGGAACCGCGTTCTGTCGAACCTCGACAAGACATTCGTGATGCGTTGTTACCCCAAGGAAGGCATCGTGCGCAACACGCAAGATGGCGTCTACCTTGTGAATCGCGTGCGAGGAAACCAGCGCGCTAGCGGACTCGCGTACTATGCGAACTTCGGAAATAACGATGGACATGAGCCGGATGATTACGTGGAAGTGTCAAATGACGACTATACGTGGTGGGAGAATGGCGGGGAAGGTACTCACTTTTTCACTCTTCTCTTCCCTTCTTCTCTTCCCTTCCCTCATTTATCCTCCCCCCTTCTTTCCTCTTTATCATGCTAGGTAATGAATAGTGACGAGTTCGGAGATGGCTGACATTCATTGACAGCGACGTTCGGAAGCGGTGCGCACGTCCGCGCTATCGTGAAATGGAACCTGGCCGAGGACGCCGGGAGATCGCCGCTGTACCAGCGCGTCGGGTTCGCGGAGAAGAGTGGAGAGAGGTGGAATGTGTATAGAGATGATGGTAGAGTTCTGTACGAGCGTGATGGGTGGCGGGTTCAGGCTATGTTCTGGGCTTTCTAGATTTTAGGTCCTAGGGAGGTGGTAGAGAGTGAGGTTGTAGATGATCTAGCATGGACAGCGGGGTCTTGAGAATGAGAGGGTAGAAAATGGTGCTATATTGCATTTGGTGTGGTTTCTTGGTTGCTGCTGCTCTTACGAAATCCAATGCCCGGTGGTTCAATCGAATCCCAGTGTTGAATCTCAGGACAGACATCTTGCGACGCTGCTTCCCTTGCGAATAAATAATTCTTATACCGGTGTAACGTTTTCCCTCTGCTCGTTTCTCCACCCTACTGTTGTTCCCAAGTAGCATACCTAAACTCTACATTTTGACAGTGTTAGAGACGATTCCCCGTATGGATTTCTTCAATCGATGTATCGGACCATTCCTTACTCTTCCCATCACTGCTCTTATTTGCTTCCCATACTCATTCTACTCTCCAGGTGCTCACCGAAGCGTGCCCAACCGTGATATTCTTGAAGCAAGACTGATCGGTATTCTGGAGGATGACCACATTCCTGATTCTGGCTGATATCATGGAATTCATCCTCTGCTTGCTCTTGAATAATCTGCTCTTAATCTTTCCACTGAACGATGGTTGCTAGAGGAGAATGGGGCTTCTTGAATCAAACCCAGCTGAGCCAACCACTCGAGGGTGGTAAGGAATTTAGGCAATGGAGCGCGCTAAGTTTACCCTTGCGATGGCTAGACTCTGGGAGTGACCTGCCCGTGATATGACGAGATTGCTGAGCACGTGTCTGGCACTGAACACAACAGCGCCAACAGCCGCAACCGTACGCGCGTGCTTCAAGATGGTCGCGTGGTTGCCATCTTGCGGGAGTTGGGAGGGGGGATGAGAGTGTGTAGGGAGCTTGAAGAATTGAATTGGGTGGGAGTGGGTTGACGGAGGTGTCGGATGGGGGAGGTTGGGGGAAGAGGTAGTCGGACGAAGAAGGCAGGCGTTAAGACCTACAGCTTCAAACGCTTAGGCTAAGTCGCCGCACTATGAGCGAGTAAGATTTTTAGATGAATTCGTTGTCACTGCCACTTCCAGTGATCTATAAGGACGGCACTGAATCTTGGGGGAGGGTGATTATACGGTAATATACTGACCAGTTGTGGGAGCGTTGTGTACATCACGCTGAAATATACGAGGTTGATGTGGCAGCATTGTGAGTACCACATTAAATCAAATTGCGAGGGTGCTTTATAAGCTTTTCTATTCGCTAGGCATTTTATCAAGAACAAGCAAGAAGACGCTGATATTTTCAGATATGACACTACTGCTATAGCGGTTTCACGCTGCATTCTCTCAACGCAAAGAAGGTGTCAACCCAACCCTCGAAACGTTGAATGAGATAGCGAGTACGTATAAAAATAGGAACGGGAAAAGGAAGGAACAGCTTAAAACTCATGAGTTCCATCTCCACCCTCACTGATCACTCAATAAGTCCTAAACGAAATACCAACCTAGGGAAGCCACAAAATTGAAATCATCTTTCATCGCATAATGAAGTTTCCCGGCGGTTGAAAGACGTCATAGCTGCTCTTTGCCCCCCTTTCCCTTTCTTGATACTCGAAGGGAAGGGGGGTGGGGGGATCGTAGAGGAGATTTGTGTGCAAACATTGCTGAACCAGTTAGCAAAACACAGCAAAAAGCTATGGTCATCCAAGGTGTTAGGTGTAATCGGGGGTCATTCAGGCTTCGTTATCTCCCAGCGATGAATGCCCAATTCTTCCATTTATCTCTACAGCTATCAACTTCTTTCCGCCTTTCAGCGTATTGGATTTTCGTGTACCCTCATGACTTGAATCATCGTCGCAACCCACCTTATGGTTCCCCCTTTGTGTAGAGCGAGCCAATGCTCAAATAGATGGTGCAATTTTCTAAGCCATGATATTCTCTGCTGTTAACGGGAGCCGTGGCCCTGGGGCTGGTCCACGCATGTGCTATCACCATGCCTGAGAGAGAGGCCTGGAGGTACGAACCGCAGTAGATCAGCGATTTAGATTTCAGTTATGCGGTTAAATCCAAGCTCATTTTCGTCCCAGAATTCCCGCATCGCACGAGGGACATTTTGAAATCTGGAACAGGTAGTGAGGTAACTCTTGTCTGGAGCCTCTATCCTGATCCGCACGGTACGCTTGGACGGCCAACGTTCACTGATCCCAACAATATCCACCCCATTGATTGGTAGGCCTTCTTCGGGGCCGAAGCCTTGTACTGGGTAGGCAGCCCAGGTGCAACGTAGATCGCACCAGTGGAAAATATGTGGTTTCAATAGAATGAAAGAGGCATTCATAGTATCAGCCTCAATTCTTTGTCCATCCTACATTCCTGTAGTATGCCTGCTTCGTCGGAATATCGATGTGTTTGTCATTATAAGAATGAGTCGTTCTTTCCAATGGATGCGGCCTGACGGACAGCCCTTGTAGTCGCTCATGAGGTTGTTTAAGCTCTGGGTAACGGTTTCGTTCTTCCGCCAGGTGCAACTCCGCTTCTTCATCCGTAATCCTTCTGGCCCCTTGAGTGACACTCCATTTCTCTTCTACCCAGTCATACTGGAATTCCATCCAACCTCTGCAATAGGAGTGAAAAGTCCAATAGCGCGATAGTTTGGGATTGCTCAGTGGCGGTTGTCTAGGAAATTGTACTGGGGTAAGGTATGGCCCTTCTCTTGTAAGTATGACTTGGGCAATTCCTCGAGTGGCTTTGCGAATGATTGTGTAGGAATTACAGTGCAGGCATTGCACATGGAAAGGGACAAAGAATCCCAGCCACTCTGCATTATCGGTTGGTGTTGGCCACATAAATTTAAAGCGGTCGGTTGGAGAAAGTGCCCTATTTCCGGCGACTCGAGGTGGATGCAGCCAAGCATCGAGGGTTTCGGCCCAAGGAAGAACAAACCGTATAGGGCTGTGTACTCGAACCTCACCTAGCATGTCGAAGTAGTCTTGGAGCTTAGAAGTGGGTACACTGGACTGGATCATGCATAAGAAGGACGGACTAATCGTGAGGGAGTGTAGAAATGGTAGTTTTTTGAGAAAATCACAGGCTCTTCGCCAATTCCCGGCTCGGTCATTCCGAGGTTCAAAATATACGTTCCGTATTGGGCCAACCTGAGTGAAGTTGCAAGTAAAATGGAAGGATGTTGTTAGATTCTTCCGATGGGGCAGAAGAGTGGCGAAAAATGCGATTACTACATCGACCTCGTCAAAAGAGAAAGTGTTCAGAGAGTACAGAAAGTTGATGGCCTCGGAATAGCTGATTAGTTAGTATGGATATAATTTTGCTTGGGACTCTGCACTTACATTTGACGACACGTCATTATCAGTGCCAACGGTCGCATGTCTCGAGGCCACCTAGTAGGCACATAGAATCCATGGTGATCCCTTGACAGGAGACATATATCCCGGCGATCGGGATTTGTTGGGTCCTTGGCTGGGCAGTAGACATTGCTCAATCTTCCCTTCTTCCTTGTAATATGGATGAAGTGGCCACCAACTGCGTATTTCCAGATCAGTTCTCGAATTTCGAAAGGCAGCTTGTAGAATTCACAAGTTCCAAGCTGATCAATGGTTGATTGAGGCAACGCCTTCTCCGTGCGAAGTAGAGCATCGGGCTTTTTGTTCCACTTTTTTTCTTGCTGTCCTTCCATGGGAGTAGAGCTACAACCCGATGTACTCGATTTAGTCTCCGGCTCGCCCGACACTAACGTCAAGGCCCTACGCCTGTTCAATTTTAATGGCTTCACGCCGTCGCGCAGTTTCCTTCTGTAGCCCCTTTCTAGAACCTCTTTCGGCTTCAAGAGATCCCTTGGTGGTTGTACAAATTTCTCATCGTATTTCTTCAGCACCCATTTCCAAAGGCCTTTAATCGAACCCCATAGGATGACGCAGATCGGATACCAGAGTGGGGAAGTTGTCCAGAAAAGGAAGTGCCGGAAAGTTCTATGCCTCTGGAGGAAGACCTTAACCCTATATTTCAGTTCCATGTCATTACAGGCCGTAAGAGTCCCTCCGGCAAAGGATGAGCTCTTGGGTACTGAGTATATCTAGGATTCCGAGATCAAAGCAAGTGTGACGAGCTAATCTCCTCACATCAGATGCGCAAAAAAGGTGATTGGATGGATGGAGAATTGGGGAGTTATACTTGCAGGACTAATGCGTTGTTGCGTAAAACAAAAAACGCCTACTTTGCCTCTTTTTCTCGAATCCACATTTAGCGCTTTCATCCGTTTTCTATGGTACTTGTCCAGGTAGGGTCAGCGTATCTCGATTGACTTCGCTCAAAGTCGTGAGTTTTCTCCCTGCCGTCAGCATGTTCGTGTTTGGCCCCGCGTTTCTAGCCCCCACAAGGCACTTTATACGGCGGACTTGGCTTAGGATCAAGCGTCGGGAAATGAAAAATCCGGCTGGGCATGGATCACGATATGGCCGTTTAGCAACAAGCAACACTCTCAAATCCTATGTCCCCCATCAATCCTCCCTATAGTGCAAAATCGAGAGAGGCACAGCTTCGGGTGCATCGTCTACTGCCAGTGCACCTTGACATCGGTGGCGCAAGGCGCCAATTCTCCCAATGTTGCCACCATCGACTTTATGATCACCTCTTCAACGGCGCGTCTTTTAAAGCCTTTCCCTGAAAGCGATGACAGTCCCCTCAGGGTCAGAGCAGGGTGGAACTTCGGCGGTGATACTATGGCGTTTCCAGGCATGTCTTTGTCCAGAGGTAGCTCTCCCTACTTCTAACCTCGTCCTTAGATCACCATCTGGTTGTTATGCGGCATCGCTACCCTATTCCTGGCTTCGCGTTTCGCTATTCGCATGTCGACCAAAGGGAGGCTCATGGTGAACGACTACTTTCTTGTTGTTGCTTTTCCACTCCTGTACCTTGGCGTCGGCCTTCTGCAATCGACTCTCGCACAAATGTATCAACTTTCAAATACAGACCAATCTGAACGCGTTCGTCTGTATACAGATACGGCGCCTCGATTTACTGCCTCGATTGAAATGCTCTGGACTACCATCTACTGTGTGAAATTTTGCTTTTTGGCTCAATTTAAATTCCACAAGCCTCCCTACGCATATGTCTCTAAGCATCTTACCCGCTATTACTGGTCCTCGATCGGGATATGTTCTGCGGCCGTACTGGTTACACTGATCCAGCCCATTATTCTATGCCCGAACTCTGGTAAGCATGAATTCCCCCTAGTGGACAAATGTCACTGATAGGGTGCAGATCGGTGCCGCTATTTTCGAGATGCAAGCACAGTTTCATTGGAAATGACGGTCACCGCCTTAGACATTATCACGGACATTTTTGGTCGGTGGCCCACTGGAATTATACCTATATATACTAATATTGTTTCAGTCATATCAATTCCGATTAGCTTGATATATATGGCAAATTTCACGCGCTTGCACACTATCATTAATGCTTGCTTCAAATGTCTCTCCATCTTCCCGATCGTAGTAGCTACAGCACGACTGGCGCTTCAGTACCGAGCCGAAACCCGCAACATTAACTATATCTGGGTTACTTTCTTGCTTGTTGTGGAGGCCGCAACTGCGATGATCATGGCGAGCATTTCGAGCTATCGGGTTGTGATCATTGATTACCTCGCGGAAAGGAGGATGCGACGTGGCGCAAATCTACCATCGTCGAAGACGTATATCCTCGGTAATGGTGTTTCTGGACGAGAGGAGAGAATTGATATAAGGCTGAACGACACCGCACCTCAAAGTAGCTCCGTGTCGGAACTTCCAATGATACATCCAGCACCCACTTCCCCTGTCGGTCCCACCACCTGAATCTAGAACGAACTCCCTTGAAAGATACCTATATTAGCTTCGGCAATGTCTCATGAGTTTTTTTCGGCTTCATGGTTTCTTTCTAGCCAGGGGGGATATTACTTGTGCCCACTATGGCGTTCCTTTAATGGCATAAATGCTGAAGCCGAATGGGACGACAGGCCAATGCCACTTTTCGTAGAATTACCAGTATTTACAGCGTGTTGGTATCTGTTTAGGGACTGGCGAGATTGGAGACAATGGCGCCTTAACACGCATCCAAAAATTCTACTAGTGATCATGCCTATAGAAGCTTTAACTCAGCCTCCATGGGAGTCTCAATGTAAAAGTACTCATCCCGGTTGTATTGATTCAAATTTGGTGGCCTTGTGTCTGTAATAGTCTCTTTGGTCTGGATCCCCCGAAAGGGAGGCTCCCCTGCCAATTTCGTGGTAAAGATCGATCACGAGGATCTACGATATTCCCTCGGCAATCTCAATTCCAGCAGGTTGGACTCTTTACAATTCGGACGCGATTCCTAAGGATGTTTTATGTCCGCTTCGTGTGATGGTACCCAGTCTCGAGAATATTCTCCCGAAGCGTTCAACTAATCAGATAATTGCTCACAATAATAGAGCAATGTTTATTTGGCTAAATGGGATGTTATCTTTCCCGACAGGATTGACCGGATGATGGTGTTCATTGGTATTGGACTAGTGGTTCGGGTACGCACGTTTGTGAAAGGAGAAGTGAATTCAACTGCTGACGACTCTAGCTTCTACTCACTCTCTTAATTTTCTTTTTGGTCAAAAAAGGTCCATCCAGGCTACAGCCTGTGGGACTACACCGTCAGTGTGCGGCAGAGATCAGATTCAAGTGCGGCAAGGGTTGGGAGTGGTGGCTTTCAATCGTATGGCAGTTCTTCTGGTCATGGATTTATGCACTGTACATGCTATGGAAGTCGCGAGGCATTCACGATGTACACAGCTAGCGCGTGCAGACGATCTGTTGTTGTATAGCTAGGTAAATCTTCACTATCCCCGGTGCTATCCTCACCACTTACTACTCCTAGACTACCCGCATCTCCATTATGGCTCGCTGGACTGTATGCTTCCAGGATGGGCCCTGTTAACAAACACTTGGTTCCTCCTTGTTTCTCCATTTCTATCTTTTTCATCGAAATTTTCACGATCGCATCCCCTATCGCCCAGGTCATCAGAACGCATGCATTAGGCCAATAAACCCTTAATGCCATTTCTTCTTGTGAAAAGTGTCAAAGCGTCAATCTTGATTTGGATTCTACCATTGCGAAACCGGATTACAATTTCACCCAAGATACCCTGTACTCGAACACTACAACCCAATCCGGTGAGAGGAATGTTGTCAGTAAACGTTCGATGGATTCTCAAGAATCAGACTTGTTCATTATGGCCGCACTTGGAAATCCGCTGAAGATCAACGCCGAACCCCTACTTCAATTTGCTGCGCTGAAGGACTTTTCTGGGGGGAACGTGAGCTTCCTGACACATGTTGCGGATTGGAGGCATTCATGGACAATTGCATACTGCTGGATGCCTGAATATCGTCACAAGCAGTTTGTGACAGCAGTCCGCATTTACTCCTCATTCGTTTCTCCCGAATTTTCCGAATTTCCTATCAATATCTGTTCGAGGGGGATGAAACATCTCCATGATATCTTCGAAGACGCAGCAAAGATACTGTGTCACCGCCAATCCGTTTTCTCGGAATCTGCAGCACCATTCGAGTTTGTTCTTCCTGATTTGGCCCCACTATCGACCTTAAATCTGGGCTCAACCTTGAGGCCCTCGGGAGCTCGAATCTCAGGTCTGTCATAGAGATGACCGCTGTAGGCAAAGAGGAGTCGCTTACAAACTTCAAGATACCTATGGAATTTGGCTCTGAAGTTTTCGATTTTTCTGAGCGCGAGAGAAAATACCTGGTCCTCACCAACACATGGCCTAAGTTCGTCAACGGGGTTTGGGTCCTGTCCCAGGGAGAGGGAAGAAAGGCAGGAATGCGAAAGTTGGTGGAAGAGGGTTTCTTTGCTCGGTGTAAGATTAGGTTTGCGTCGTCATGGTTCCGACTCGAGAGCGACTATCATAGGCAGGTATGTATTCAGCTACCATATTAATTGGGACTTTATTCACTTCTATGACGGGATTCATGTGATGGCATCACAAGTGGGATCACGAAGGCAGCCTGTGAGGTACGTGCGCAACCTTCCTGAAATAGGAAAGTCCCAAGGCAGATCTCGTCCCGTCTCTTATCTCCGAAGGATTTCTGTTTGACCACCATCAACACACTTTACGTCTACAAAAACGGTCCTGCAAATTGATCATGGGGGAGAAGCAGATTGTTGCCGACACCCCAAAACTACGTACCCGTCGGGCGATTCAACCATATGCTATAGCTATTCTTTTGTTGTGGGGCACGTGGTTTTGGGTCTACAGACTCGCTGTCTGGCGAATTCCAGAAGACGAGTTAACGACATCAAAGTCGCAATGTCCACAAGCGGAGCCATTATTTCCTTCACAGAGGACAAAAGAGCTAGATTCCATGGATGAGTTCCTACAGTCGGAGACATTCCGTAACCTTTCGATCAAGCGATTATCAGGCGCAGTCCAGATCCCTACGGAGTCTTTCGACGACCTTGGATCTGTAGGAGTAGATCACCGATGGGATGTGTTCTACCATTTTGCTGCATATCTGGAGAAGACATTCCCTCTCGTTCATTCAACGTTGCAATTAGAGAAAATCAATACCCACGCGTTACTCTACACGTGGCCGGGCACCGACCCCTCTCTCAAGCCGACACTCCTCATGGCGCACCAGGATGTTGTTCCAGTTCCGAAGTCTACCATGGGCCAATGGACGCATCCACCATTTTCCGGGTTCTACGATGGGAAATTCATTTGGGGTCGGGGTAGCAGTGATTGTAAGAATCAGCTCATGGCCATTCTAGAAGCCGTGGAGGCATTGATAGAAGGCGAGTTCATTCCGACACGAACAGTGGTGCTCTCATTTGGATTTGATGAAGAGATATCCGGCCAGGAAGGCGCCAACCACCTAGCTCCTGTCATCATCTCCAAATTCGGCCACAATTCCATAGCTGTTATAGTGGACGAAGGCGCAACAACCGCGGAAGCCTGGGGAACGAACTTCGCCATGCCAGGAGTGGCGGAGAAAGGATATGTCGATGTCGATATTGTGGTGCGCATGCCAGGCGGGCATTCATCTATTCCACCGGAGCATAATGGCATCGGAGTTGCCGGCGAATTGATCACGCTCATTGAGTCTAACCCATACGAGCCATATCTAGATGACGACAATCCTTATTTGTCACTTCTACATTGCGGCGCTGAATACGCCCCCGAATTCCCTTCCAAACTTAAGCATCTTCTCGGAAAGCGAGCAATAACTCTGGGGAAGAAAGACGACTTAGCCATCGAGGCTTCGAAAGCCGGATTGGGGATTAAGTATCTGATGACAACTTCTGTAGCCGTGGACATCATTCAGGGAGGCGTCAAAGTCAACGCTCTACCCGAGCGAACGCAGATAACAGTCAACCATCGCATCAATGTCGGTTCCTCCGCATCGACTGTGCTGCACAAGCTTACCTTCTTGGCTGCGAAAGTCGCGAAGAAACACAATCTCAGGCTGATACCTTTCAACGGCTCAGAGACTCCAAAATCAATCACCCTGTCACATCGAGACACACTTCTCCAGCCTGCCCCTGTAACACCAACGAACTTCAAACCTGGAAAGTCGACACCGTACTCTGTCCTCTCGGGTACGACGAGAGCACTCTATGGCAAGGGCCTTCTCGTCGCTCCGGGCATTATGACGGGTAATACGGATACGAGATATTATTGGGGTTTGAGCGAACATATTTTCCGGTACGGACCTGGTTGGGATAAGGACCAAGAGGGACTTGGAAATATCCATACGGTAGATGAGAAGATTGGCGTGCAGGCGCATGTGGATACTGTGAGATGGATGGGAGCGTTCATTAGGAATATGGACGAGGCGGACCTGAGAAGTTGAGATTTCTTTCCGAACGTTGGCCGGGAACCCCATCAACTGGGAACCCAATGTTTCTCAACATACTCACGTGAATAGTGATCAACTGTTTCGTTATAATTAAAGAGCAATGGTTAGCCTGCTAGAGAAATGAAAGCATCCAGGGATGGAAATGTCTACCACTCACCCGAACTTCTGTATAGAGAGATACAGGTATTAAAAAGCGTAAAGTAGTTGTTCAAATTATTGATATTAGTCCTTTTGGAGACGTATTCTTGATGCGTAGAAGGTAGCGTTGTGCCATGTACAAATGCATTGGGATTTGCTCTCAGGCCTGTGTTGACTTTTGCGAAAGGAACATGCCCCTTTCTCCACAGGACCAAGGCAACGAACAGGAATAGTCTTCTCTGAAATGCTTTATCTCCTTGGGATTACATGAGTTCCCAGGTTAACTTGAAGTCACACATTGTCAACACCGAAACCCCATCGACTAGTTATGCGTTTACTTTGATTGGCTTTCTTCTTCTCTGACACAGAACCCCTGCCTTCGAAGGGCAAGATTTGTGAGTCTCTATGTATCTAGTGTTATTGTGTTGATTATCCTGACACTCAATTTCTAGTCGGCCTCGCAACATATCCGTATCCCCCTTTCCTCTCGAAATCCATCTAGATATCATCCCATATCTTAACAGCGACGACCTCTATAACTACCGCCTAGCGAATAAAGCCTTCGCACATATTAAAGCAGTGGACTTTTCATCGCTAGAGGATCCACAAACCACTCTATCCCATGCCTCATATTTCCATCCCACGTAGCGCGCTTCCGAGGGTGAAAGACGATTGGGCACATTGGGAGCCACATACGACTGAGCCGGACGAAAACGCTATATATCTTTGGCTCTCTGCATATCTGCTTGGCACTCGTCATTACCATTGGCGAGTTTCTAGGCAAGGCTACTGAATGCTCGTTGCTTCTTGGGTGCATCAGCCAAAACCTCTGTTTTTATGCAATAGCAGAATCCAAAATTCCTCTTCTCTGTCTCCCACTTCAAGAGATAGGGTAGAGTTGATCTATCAAATCTCCTCCTAGAATTGAGGAGGGTTTTTGCTAAGCTTTGTTATGAGCAGTAATGAACCACAACTCTATCCATACAATAGAGATGAAGTTCAATTCTTCCTTACCACCACGCAACCACACTCACGACACAGCCCGCGATCACTGGCGACGCTCAAGAACGGCCTAGCCGGCATGTAGATCAACGCGCACAAAGCAAGTGAGTAAGTCTCTGTGACGAATCACAATCGACAGGCCCCACTCAACATGTGGTAGTCACGATCTTGACCCCGCCTTTCATACGCTGGCATGCGCTAAACTTCCAGCCCTCACATGTTCAAGAAGCCCAAGAGCACTGCCTCCCTTGGCCGCATTAACATCTCTTCTGTTCGCTGTGCAATGGCACATCCTAGGCTGCTTCTCCGTCAGCATCTACAGTATCGCTGGCATTGATTCGAAATCATGGCGTCATATTTCGACCCTCAGTCCTCCTCTAAGTTGGCCGCCGAGGTGGTTGTCAAGTCTCCAGTACAGGTAGATGGCTTAAGTCCGGAGGATGCAGATACAGACGCAGAAAATAGAAACAAGTTCTTGACTCCGCAGGTGTCTAGGATTTTAGAGAATCTGGACGAGCGGTCGAGTAGTGATGGCGAATTGAGCGCTTCTCACGACAGCGAATCTTCTCAAGAAGAGCGTATAAAGAAAGAGGGAGAAAACAACACTGAAGGCTCCTCATCTCTACGAATCCAGTTATCGGCAATTCCGGAAAATATACCAACGAAGGGTTTGGTGCAACCACCACGAAGCCCTGGCGCTGGACTTCATAGTCGCAGAGAGAAGCATCCACATCTCGCACGGTTCCATTCTCTGAGGAGTATGCTGTTCGCATCGCGCATTGAGGACGCGCATGCCCAATGCAAGGAGGCGAAGGCCAAAGAGGAGGCGGAAGCAAAATGGAAAGCGGAATATCAACAGCGGAAAGCTTTCAACAGACCCAGGACGCCGGGTTCACCGAACAAGTCCCCAACACATGACGGGTTTTCTCACAAGCTAGGGAATAAATTGAGGAGGATGACATCGAAAGAAGGTTTTCCTAGCAAAGATACTAAAGGAGAAGAGTCAACTGCGAGCTCGGATGTGTCCGATGAATGCGACATCCCCTACGAGTTTCCGAGAACAGAAAAGGACGGTACCGCCCCCCAGGTGGAAAGTCTAGGGAATTCGGACGTGGAGGATTTGGTGAGGTGGGTTAGTAGGAGAGACCCACCGAGCGACGGAGAAGTTAGGGAAAACGTCAAAGCAGCACGAGATATTGACAGCGGACGTGAAAGTCTGGGGCACTCAGATATCGAGGAGCTAGTACGGTGGGTCAGCCGGAAGGACGAGGCAGATGTCGAGTCCACACTTGACAACATCGGCGAAGATGCATCAACGGGCTCAGAGTCGGAAGGAAATTCTCCGGGGCAAGATTCTTTGGCGCATGCTGATATTGATGGGCTTGTGCAGTGGGTTAGCCGCAAGGAAGGACCAAATGTAGGACCCGTTTGGAAAAAAAAACCGAGCCACATCTTAGGTGATCTCGGGTCCGAGATTGAGAGTAGTGACGAGTTGGTGCGATGGGCCACTCACAAAGACGACACCAGTGGCAAATCGGCGCATAGCGATGCAAGCGGTATCTCGACGATTTCGGATTTGGGAGATGAGTTTGCAAAAGGGCGTGGGAGTCTGGCACAGAGAGATGTTGATGATCTCGTGAGGTGGATCCGTCGAAAGGATGGGAAGAAGAGTGATTTGAAAGGAGGAGATGATAAGATGCCTTCTGGTGGAGATGAGGAGGGGGGAGGAATGAGAACAGACCAGGGGATTTTGGCGCCTGGCGATGGGGGTGAGCATATTCGCTAGCTTAGCAAGAAGTAGAACTTCTTCGACACCATAAACGATAGGGGTAATCGGTGAAAGTTCTAGAGGGAAGACATTTCCTGGAGCTGAAATGGATAGGATGGTAGCACAAAAGTTTTTGTATTATATCTATATGTTAGAAACAGAAATGGCCAGTCCATTGATATCGTCCTGTGACAATTTTACAAGATAGAGCTTCAGCAGCACTACATATTTGAAGTATTTCAGGAGCAATAAGAACCCGTGATATATGAGAGCATGAAAACTAGTTGTTTAGAGAAGTGTAAACCGTTCACACGGGAGTGGGAATAGGAGATCAGTGGGGATCCTCGGAAACTGATAAGGATTCCCATTGAGATATTTGGGGTAGTTGATTTGCGCCATCTTCTCACAAGGTTATATTTGAACAATTATATTCGATTGAAAGCCTTGTGTCATACATGCATATTTCCTAAAGGCTTGAAGTCTACGCACGAGTGGGCTAAAATTATCTCAGCTAGCTCAGACAGCATGCCAAGAAGACACTAGTACACAAATAGTATAGATACTTTTAGACCCCTGCTAGGGCTTCTTCCTTCTTAGCTGCTGTCTAAGGGACTTTAGTGCAGTGCAATGTGTGCAAAGCTTTGTCTATTAACTTACTAGAAACTTTTATACAAGATACTATTACACACAGCTTATTATAGCACCTATAATTAAAATTAATTACTTAAAAGGTATATATAATCTACTTTAGACTATTTTTAAATAAATTTTTAATGTTCTAACTATAAAAATTATAAGCTTAGCATTATACATATTTTAACATGTAACTATTTCTCTTAACTTTATTCTTTACTAGTCTATTTACTTGCGTTTAACTATTAATAATAGCTAAGATTAACTAACTTACTTTAATTTAGCTTTTAAAACACGCTTTTTGTTTTAAATAAGGCATGCTAGGTTTAAAGGCTGCTACACAGATTTAAAATAGTAATATATAGTATAAGTAGAATAGTTCTAATCTATAATTAAGTTATTTAGTAGATGCATAAGTGTTACTTAGTCTAGTAAATTACAGTAAAAGGTGCGCTTATTATAATTAAGTATTACCTGTTAAGCATTACTAGGCACCTTATTAATAAGACCCTAAGTCCTTTACTAGAACACTAGAGAGCGCTATACTAATAAGAATCTAAGCTGTATAAAAAAAGATTACACATATTCTTTTATTTAATAAAAATAATAATATTCTTATAACTATTTATATAGTTATAGTTTAATATTAAAAACTGTGTAGTGTTAGCTTATAAAAGCTTTTTATTTAAAATACCCTTTTTTTTTTACTTAGTAAAAAAGAACTATATACTAAGTAAGTCTATATTGTCTAACACCTTGTCTTTAGTTTAGGCAATATAATTCTAGTTGCAAAGACTAGGTTTAGTAAAAGTATTACACTGCATGCATATTTAGTAATAATAGAGTATATAACACTTTAGATTATCTTATTATTAAAGCTTAAAAAAAAGTAAAAAAAAAAAATTATAAAATATTTTAAAGCTTATCTATACTTTATTACTATAAAAATAAAAAATTTTAATCCTAAACTTTTTAGTAAGATTTTTAAGAAATATTATACACATATTTTTTTTAGCTTTAAGTAGGTAATTTTTTTAGTATTTTATTATTTTTTTTATAGGCAGCTTTATAGACTAAGTCTAACTAGTTGTAATTAATAAGTGCTATGTTATTTAGTAGTAGTGTAAATTCTAAATAGCATATATCTAGTTTTATAAGCTTTATTAGATAATGTATTCTACAACTTTTTTCTTTACATGTACAGTAACCTTAGATGCTGCAACTAAGGCCTAGCTTCTTAAAAGTAGATGTTTTTAAGCGCTAGCAACTAGTAACAATAACACTCCTATGTAGCTAAGAATTATACGCACCTCTATTAACAGGCTAGAGATTGCTATTAGAATTGTCCTAATCTTAACTAGCTACTAGATGTTATATAACTAGCTTCTAAACTATATAGATGTAGAAATTAATATAAAAACATTATAAATTATCTTCTTATACATTTTAAAGATAATTATATTTTTAAATAAAAAAAATAAAATTACTACTTTAGCCTAGCTTTTTTAAAGTTAACTTCTAAAAAAAAGCTGTTTACTTATAAATATTTAATTAGTATTAGTAGTATATATAAGGCACATATTAAAGTTTAACTAAGCTTAAATATATACTAATTTCTTAAAGGATAAGTTTTTAATCTAAGTTACTATTACTATAACTACGCTTAGAATAAGTATAGATCTGTCTAATGTCTAGTGTGTCTATTAGTAGTTAATTCTAATTATAGATAATATTAAAGACTTAATCTAGCAGTTTAGTTGTAGAGTAAAAAGACCTAAACAACATGCAACTGCTATACTATTTATTCTATATTATGCTTTTAACTACCTTAGAAGAGGGCTAGTAGACTGCTTTAAATTAAAGTAGTTATAAAGTTAGTAAGCTAGTAAAAAAAAAAAAGTTAATATAAAATAAGTTAGTGTTTATTATCTATACTTTATACTATATTTACTATGTTAGACTTATTTAAGGGTAATTACTCTAACTATACTAGCATACTAGTAAGGACAGTAATAAACTAGGTAAAGTAGGAAATATTAGCTAGTTAAGATGTGTAAAAGTAGGTCTAGTTAGCTTATTATAAACTACTAAGTATATTAATAGTGCTAAAATAGTTAAAAGCAGAGCTTTAGTTGTGTAAGAGTATCTGCCCTAAGTAGTTAGATTTAATTATGTTAAAGTGCTACTAAAAGTTTATTTTTTAGTATTTCTAAAATAAGCTTATAATCCTATTAACTTAGAGTCTACTTCTGCTACTAGAAAGGTGCTGTACTAGCTATAATTTATTTCTAGTTAAAAATACTTAGAAGCTAAGTCTAGTTACGCAGCTAACTACACCTTTACTAAAAGCTAAAGCTAAAGTTGCCTTTAAGCAAATCTAAGTTAAATATAGTAAAGTAGCACTTTCTATTTATATTAATAATAAAAACATATTATAGAGGCCTAGTTTTTTTATATTTATAGTTAATAAAGTTTTTATTTTACTGCTTAGATCTATTTTTATACTAGTTAAGTTCTAATAGAAACTAGCCTATAAAGTTAAAAAAGCTTAAAATGCTATAAAGTTTAGTATAGTGTTTACTTAAAAACACTTTTTTAATACTAGTGTTCTACTACAGTAGTAATATTTTAACATATACAGGCTAGGCTTCTACGCCTTTTTTTACAGTATTATAGATAGTGTTTACGCGCTTTATTAGTAACAGTTCCCTAAGTAATATATAAAAAAAAAAGTAATAAAGACTTATTATTAAATTTAACTACTTTTTAGTAGAGTAGCACTTTCTCTACTCTCTTAAAACTTGCTTTAAAGGATAAAAACAACTAAGTTATGTTATAAGCTATGTGCGCTTTTTAATTATATGTAGCTTATTATAAGCACATTTATAGGTAAGCAGCAGTCACTGCTGTCTTTGTAGGCGTCTTGTCTGCAGAGGAGGCGCCTGTCTTTATTAGCCCTACAGGTCTATGTCTACTGTTTATATTAGAGTTATTTACTATGTTATGTTTTATAACTATAGATATGTTATTTTTATTAGCATATATACTATTAAATTCTTTATTTTTACTTAATGTTACTATATAATATAATAATAGCAGCTAACCTAGTTTAGCACTTATAACTAAAAGCGCTTTTTTTTATCTTTATTTATTAAAACTTTATTATATAAATAAGTATTATTTAATATTACTTTCTTAGCTATAAATATATAGTTACATAAAGTCTAATCTAATAGTATATTATAAAAGCAGTGTAGGTCTTAGCTTACTAAAAGTAGAGTTAGAGAAGGACTAGTGCAGCTATATTAAACAGGGGATTGTAGTAATAGTAGAGCATAAAAAAGTGTATTACTAACTCTAAAAGCATAGTGTTTAGGGCTATTTTAGTAGTTATTTTAGAGAGAAGGGTAATAAAAGTTATTATATAAGTTATAGAGCTTGTCTAGGCGCACTAGAAGCAGGTTAGCTAGCGCTAGAAGTAATAAATAGTATAGGTTAGTCTTAATTTAAAACACAACATAGTTTATTATCTAAAGTAAAAAAAAGTAGTAAAAGTAATTAAGTATAGTAATCTAATTAGTAAGTTTTACTAAGTAACTTATACTATAGTAAAGGTTAGCAGCAGAGAGTGTAAGAGAATAGAGGATAGTTAAGCGCGCTAGTCTTAGTGTTTTATAGTAAAGGCTGCAACCTTTCTAGATTAAGCAGTCTATAATATTAAGCGCGTATGTTGCAGCTAATGTCTATTCTTGCATTTATAATTACACCTATTATTATAACTTTATGTGTAGTTTTTATTATAATTATAGCTTCTTTTACTTTATTTATTTTTTTAAGCTAATTTTTTTTTATTTTTATAGTTATATTTATATTTACCTTTATAACTACTGCCTTCTTTGTAAGTGTTGCTGCGCTTATAACTTTATTTATAACTATAGACATAGCTATAGTTATAATATCTACTTTATTTACTTTTTTTAAGCTAATTTTATTCTCTCTTTACTTATTTAAAGTGCTTTGTAATTTATATTGTTTTAACATAAATTACGCCTACTAATTAAGCTAGCACCTGCTATATATATAACAGTAACTGCTTCTAACAGCTAGCGTTTTATAGCATATAAAGGCAGGCTGTTTCTTAACCTTTTGCTTTTCTTTACTCTTAGTATTACCTTTAGCACTAACCTTTTACGCCTTACTTTTAGCATTAACTTACTTAATAGCTTTTTGCTTTTTACTTTTTACTTTTTACTACTTACTTTTTACTTTTTTATTTAATAGTAAGCTACTATACATAATCTATACATATCTAAAACTAATAAAGTAAAGTAAATAAAGCATTAACTTACTTTTTAACTTTACTTTTTACTTTTTTAAGCTGTCTATCTTAACTACTATCTACCTTACACGCGCTAGCTATAACTATAGTCTACTATAAAAATATCTATAAAGTCTGTAAGAAGTACTAGCTGCTTATTAGCAAAGTAGACTTTACTAGCATGCTATAAGCCTATAATACCTCTACTGCGCTAGTAATAGCCTGCTTAAGAGCTAACAAGAATATGCTTAACTTTAGCACTAGCGCTAAAAGAGCTATTATTGCTGTAAAGCTTATAGTAGGCAACAGCGTCTACATAGGCGTAGACATAGTATAAGGCTTTTTTAACATTAATGTCTTTGCCTACCTTGCACATAAAAAGCTTACGCGCGCTCTAGCTAGCTAGGATAACTAGAAGGTGTTCCTTTTTAAAGCTAGTATTATATAAGAAGACCTTTTAAACCTTATTATAGTGTGTGTTAGCTACTTTATTAAGTTTAACATTATATTTACTGTTTACCTTTTTAACACTATTATACCTACTTATTATTAACAAGCCCTCTAAACCTAGAAAAAGATGCTAGCGCCTAGTAGCTGCTTTATTCTTACTATGTCTTTCTACTTTTTTTATAATTTTACTACATAGTTTAAACCTAACACTACTAAGGCCTCTAAATATGTCTTTATTATTAAGTATAATTTAGAGGATTTGCTTTAGCTACTTACTAAAAAAAAGCTAGTAGCTTAACTTAAAGTTATTATTACTACTTAAATCTTACTAAACTCTATCTAAGCTAAAAAGCGTAAGTAAGTAAAAAACACAGCTATAATAGTTTAAATATATGTTAAGTAATATAGTAACATTAGTAAAAGTAATATATTTAGTTTAAAGCATACACTTTTATTTTTACTACCTAAGAAGTTACGCTAGATAAGCGCTTAACAGCTCTAGGCCTAGGGGGCTGCACACAAAATAAGCAAGCTCTAATGCTGCAGTCGCCTCTACTAGGCCATAGTGGAGGCTAAGGATCCTAACATCGCCCTTCTCTAGGGCTCTAGGCGGCTCTGTGCGCTTATAGAGGGCTTGTAGACTGCAGCAGCTAGTCTTGTAAGTTAGTTTCTCTAAAAGATGTTACCTTCTATCTTATTTTATGCAAATTATGCCTAAGCTAGTGTCCTTATTAAGCTGCAGCGCAAGTAAATAGACTAGTTTAAGAGTAAAGGTAGTTAGCTTAAGTTAAGTTTCTTATAGTAGTTCTTATATATATAGACTTCTATAAAGCTATATAATAGCATTATATAGCTAAAATAAATAAATAAATTAGACTAACTTATAAGTACACTATACACTTTTAATATTATGTAACTAAGATAGCTATAACATGTCTATATTAAACTAGTTAGTATCTCTAGAGTCTAAAAGCGCATAGAAAATATTATTAACTGCCTTAGTATATATAGCAGTGCAGATAAACTTAGCTTTATTAGAGTTAATTAACTCTAAGTTAATAATAATAAAACTTAGTAAAATACTTTAAGCTAGTTAAATAATATTTTAGTTAAATTTTATAACTTTTTTATTAAGCTTATTAAGACTTATTTAAATAATATTAAAACTTATTACTACTACATTATACTAAGCATTAAATAAGTAAAAATATATTTTTTTTTTTTTAAAGCTAACTTACTAGTGTAAAAACCTTTTAAGTAATAAACTAATAAGTATAATTATTCTTTAACTTTTTACTAAAACTATGCTCTAGGCTAGCTTAAAGATAGGTAGTATATCTACTAGTTAGTGCTAGGTAGTTAAATGTTAAGTTTACATTATATGTTTTATTCTTTAAGTTCTATATATCTAGCTTATATGTATAGTTTATATGCTTAAGTGTAAGGTTAATAGCTTTAAATATATTTTTTTACCTAGCAATATTTACTAAACTAGAGGCTAGAATAGCACGCTAAAGTTCTAGGTTAGACACCTTATCTATAAAAAGCTACTATAGGTGTAGCATCTTAAGACTATAGCGCTATTAGTTGCTGCTATAAAATAAGATAATTAATAGATTAACTATTTAGTAAATTAAGCTAATATTACTAAACTTAATAGCGCGCTTAAGCATAAAAAATACCTTAATTTCTTAAAAGTATTAATAAAGTGTTATAAAATTACTAGTAATAAAAGCACTGCTTTTTTAGGCCTAGTATATAAAGATGCTTAGCTAGATACTATTAAAAACCTTTTTATACTACACTAGTATAAGATAATAGATAGCATTATTAACTAGGCCTAGTAATTTCTTATAAGTAGATGTGTTAAAGTTACTAATTATTTTAGTAAAATAACCTTAATAAGCTATTTTAGTATAAAAAAAAGAAAAAATCTAAGTATTCTAACTTAACTAAATAAGCAAAGTAACTAAATAATACTTAATGTTATTATAGTTAATACTAGTTTGCTTTTAGTAAGTAATATTATAAAGTATATTTAAAAAAAACTTAACACTATTAAAACTACTTTAATAAGTTCTAATAATTATATAAGTTAAAGCCTAGAGAATATAGAAATATGCAGGAGAGCTAACTATTTAGTTATAGTAATTGTACAGACAGCAAGTAAGCTGCTACTTATAATAGACACTTTAAATATGCTTTACTGTCTTCTAATTACCTTATATTAGCTAAAGATAATTAAAAAATATAGTAAAAGTATTAAATAAAAAGTTTTTACTTAGCTTAAACTACTTAATTTAGATGTTATTATAAACTTTATATGTCCCCTTAATAGTACCTTTATTATAAAAGATAGCACTAAGGTTTTAGACTTAACTAACTAGCTGTAGCAAAAGAATGTTAACTAACAGCATACTTAGAAAAGCTATAGCATGTGAATTAAACATTAACTGTATAGCAGCTCTATGCATAGAACTTACTATACTTAAAAAATAATAATATGTAATCTTTTTTAATATTAAATCTTATTTTATACTAAGGGCCTAGTATATAGATTTTACTTAAAGGGGAATAGTATAGTTAAGCATGCTCTGTTAAAGACTGCTCTCTAGTAGCTACAAGCACTTAACAGTAAGAGTAGTTATAAAATTACACATAATCTATATTAGTATACTTAAAGCATAATTATAAGTTTAGTTTAGATAGTTAAAATTATTATAGATAATAATAAGCTAAAAGTTTTAAGCTATAGTTATTACTATTCTAGTAAACTTTTTAGCACTAGAATTAAAAAAAAATGTTAGAGGATATACTTACTAAACTTTTAACTATTTTATAATATGTTTAATTTTTTTATTAATAATTTTATAAAAGTTATATAAGCTAAGACTAGACATAACTTTAATAACACACCTTTTTATATTACTACTATAAAAATAATGTTTAAGCATTTTTAAAAAATAATTTAATTACTTTCTAGCACACTTTTATATAATAATAAAAGTAATTAAGTAGAGAGTAAAATTAGTTAATACTTTTTTTACTTTATAACTAGACTAAGCACTTTAACAGTTTTACATTAAATTTTAAAGTAATAAAAACTACTTTAGTGCAGTAACTATAATTTAGCTATTAGAATTACTAATATTAAAGCTACTTATTTTTACCTTAGTCTTAATATTATACTTTATAAAAAAAAAGTGCACTACTAATAAGTTAAGTTTATATAATAGCTTTTTAATATTAACTATATTTTTAAATGTATATTAATCTCTTAAAAGTATCTTTAAACTATATAGTTATTCTAAAGCTATATAAATATGCAATATGCAGGTAGCAGATAGATAAGTATATAAGACTAAATTAACATAGAAAGTGTGTAAAAAATTACTAATACTAAAATTAAGCTATTTTAAAAGCTAAAGTACTTTTATAAGTTTATCTACCTAAAATATAGAGAGCTAGTAAGTAGTTAGTAAGTGTGTGTTAAATAAAAAATTAAAAAAGTTAGGCAGTAAAGAAAATAATAAGAGCATAAAAAGTAGTAAAGATAACTCTATAGTATACTGCAAATTAAAATGCTAGAAGGTAAAAAAGCCTTAAAACAATGTTATTAAAATAAAAGATATAATAAAGCTAGTAAAGTAAGTAAGTAGCAAGCATTAAGTAAAAAAATAATAATAAATAACATATTTTTACACATAAAAGCTAGAATTTTCTTATTAAAGTAGAATTAATTATAAGTATAGTACTAATAATAGTATAAAAAAAGTAAAAGAGTTATAGCTACTTAAAAAGAGCTAAAAATTATTAAGAAGTTAATTTTCTAGCTATAGTTAAAAGAATTAAAAGTGTTACACTTACATAGGCGCACTAAAGTCTCTTAGATAGGAGGAGCTTTAAGAAAATTATAGCTTTTAATTAGTTTAGAAAAAACTTAGTAGACTGTAAAAAAACAGCTTTACTTTAAGGAGTATAGTGTGGCGCTAATCAAAGCCTTGACCGTCTGAGCTCGCTAAGATAAGGCTAAAAAGGTCGTAGCGCGCTTACGTAAGATAGGCATTGGATTCAAGAGTAAGGACTAGGTAGATCTCTCCTTCAACACGAAATTAATCCCTTCACTCTCAGATGGAGTTCTCCGCTCCCGCTCATACCGCTCAGAGAACGTGCACACAGTGTAAAGCCAGCAAAAAGAAGTGTGACAAGGTTGCACCGAAATGTGGTCGGTGCTTGAGGTATCCATTTTCGAGTATTTACTCCGTTGTTTGCTGATGCTGGAAGATTCTAGGCTCTCTATCAACTGTTGGTACCCTCATACTGATAAGCCTGGTGGAGCCGAGCCTGGCCTGGATGGACGGGACCCTAGATTTGATGAAGTCTTCCGACGCCTTGAAAGAATAGAGAACCAACTCCCTAGCACCGAAAGGTTCGCGACCCGACAAAGCTCAGTTGAACAATTATCAAGCCAATATTCCCTACCAAGGCCACTCCAAGAGTCTGGATCTTGTGACTGGACCCTTAATCCAGGATCTCTAAAACCACATTGGATGACTTTCATTCTCTATGGGAGCGTGTTAAGAGTTACAACAGAGAATCAAACTACGTTAGAGAAAATCATTCATAAGTATTCCGAACATACTCACCGATGGCTACCTATAGTTTCACAGGCAAGGATGGAACGAGGCATAAAGGACTTCTGGAATATTGTGCCCGACCCGGGATTTTTAATGCTGGTCCTTGCTATGCACTTACTCGTCACCCCAGTCTCTGAGCATCCTAAATCAACATCGCTTTCAGACTCCTCATGGTATCGTGCTTGTAAGTACCACTATGGACAGTACGTGTCCCTCGGTGAACCCTCGATCGAGTTAGTCCAGGTCGGGATACTTATCGCGTTATTTGAGCATATGCAGTGGGTGGAAGATCGAGCGTTCGTCACCCTCGGAATTTGTGCGAGGGTTGCGTATGCGTTGAAATTGAATCAGGTTGCTTCACAACAATCAGCTAGCCAGTTTAAAGAGAGTACACCGGAATTGGAAGAGATGTTATTGACTTGGCGAGGACTCATTTTGCTCGACAGGTAGGCACTAAGATTTTGCTATTCCTCCTGATGCAAGCTACACTTGATTATGCGCTGTTTCTTTCTAAGATGCATAGGACCTCACATGAATATGGCCTACCTTAGCTAAGACCATTAACAAACAAATAGGTATATAAACATGCCTCCATTCGAGTCTCCCCGGCAACCTGCAGTCCAACAGAATCCATTTCAACCCAGTTCTCTCGAGAATGTCACTAATTTCAACTTTATTTCTGGCTTCAAGAGCATTGATGCACAAATTCTCGAAGACTTCTGGCTGGAAGTTGAGGCTTCCCGGATGCTTGCTCAGGTGCAAGAACTGGTTCGCGAGAATCCCCAGAAAGACTCGTTTTTACGCGCCCGTGCTCCTCTGGTAATGAGAAACATCGATGAGCTTGTTCGGATTTTGAAATCAAAGCAAGCCAAATCAGGCCGGTTTTTCGGCCTTTGCTCCTGCTTTACGTAAGCCATTTCTCTAGAGTTGAATATCTCTCTTAAAACATCATTTGACATATTCATGTGTAGTGCTGCACTCCAATTGCAATGTTCCTATATCTATAATCAAGGACCAGGTTATCATGAGAGCATTGTGCAACTGAAGATGCTCGGAGAAGAGCTCAAAAGTGTCGCATCAGAATGTCGACTGTTCAATGGTTTCACTGAAAATTACCTGGAAGGGATTCGGCCAGCTTGGATATCTGCAGCGTACTTGTCAATGAAGGCTCAGAATATGTTCTCTGTTACTGAAGATGCACAATGTTTGATAGGGACGGCCAAGGGACCGTTTATGGAGCTACTTCAAGGGGTTGCTCCGCGGTACAGGTTTGCAGGTCTGCCTCCTTTTGCATCTTGCGGACAGGATAACTAATATTTCATATTTAGAGTATTGCCTTTCACTCTTGAAAAGCGACTAAACCCTTGCGAGCCCCTCAAACACGGCTATTCTCCGTGAAGCTTTTTTGAAGCGCGTCTCTTAGTCCAATTGGGCTGATGTCCGGGAACATCTCATTCAACTGTTGGTGACCCTCATAACTCAGCGAACCCCTCGCAAAGAATAGCCCAAGGGCTGATAGAAATCCCTGCAATCTCACCTTGCCCTCCTGTGACCCGCCTAAAAATACGTAAGCTCCCACATGCGCCGGCAACTCTGTGACCTCTCCGTTCAACATCTTCTCTACAGAATCATACGAAACCCTAAACTTCACTCCCTTCACGTCTTCGGTCAATGAAACAAGCTCGTTCCAAGTCGTCTGGCTGCCCACAATAAAATATTTGTTCTCCCACCCTTTGAGGTGCAGTAACGCGACCGTATACTTGGCGACGTCGAACGACCAGGTCAGCGTTACGGGGTATTCTCCAGTTCCTGCAATACCGGCCGCATTATTAATTGTGTCGACGCATATGGCCACAGGATGAATATAGGATTCTAGCCCTGGAGCGTAGTAATCGAGGTACACTCCCAAGTAAATTGCAGTCCATTGGAGAGTTGTTTTTTTCAAGGCGTTCGTAAGACCTATCTTCTCCGCAGCAAAATGAGACCGTTTGATATCTCTGCCAGACTGATGTTCAGAGAAGATTGCAGAGGAAGAGTTAAGATGGGGCAACGTACTCCTCCGCGTAATCAACGCCGCTCCATATGCTTGGAATATAGCGACGAGTCACCTTTGAACGATCAGCAGCTTTGATGAGGTTCAGTTCAGGACTAGGGCCGCGAGGGTTTATGGCTGAGATCACAGTGTCAATTTGTTGGTCTTCAAGAAGCCTGACAGCGTGGCCAACAGTACGTAGTACGTTACGTTTGAGCTTTTTTCTGCCAGTAACTTCTCAATTTAGTAGTACTTTTGTACGTAAGCAGTGAATTAATTAGCAAGTACGTAACGTAACAGTAACTTCTTAAAATCCTTACACTTTTATACTTTTCACAAGAAGTTTTGTCAGTCTAGGTCAAAATTGTTCCAGGAGAAGCTTTTTAGCCTAGATGAAGTCCCCTCCTCCTCCTTATCACCCTCTGTCTCTAGCTTGTTGGGACAACTCTAATAAGCAGGAGGATTAGGATGAGGCTGTACGCCTGCTGCAATAGAGGAATTAAGACATCTAGCTTATTATAACAATTAATAAAATAGGCAATAGGTTAGCAAATAGGCAGGTATAAGATAAGGAGCTTTTCTAGGGCAAAAGTTAACTATTTTTATAATTGTTACTCTAAAACGCGACCTTAAACAAAGCTCCTAACGCGGTGGCTAATGGGGTCTGAAAACAGGAGGGAAATCTCCTAAAATATGACCTCTCTGACCTGTACTACGGGACGTACTTAGCAATTCACTGTACAAAAGTTACGTCTCACATTTTAACTACTTTTGTACTCCTTACGTGATTACTACGTTCACGTAGTTACGTTACGTACTACGGACTGTTGGCCACGCTGAAGCCTGACAAGTGAGTCGGTGTTGGAATAGTCAGCGGCAACGACCCGAATTCCGAAGTGTTGTTCCAGCTCAGGATTTTTCTAAGCAGACAAATTTAAGGATTCTGGGCTCAAATGTGGACGTGGAGATGTACCTGACGCGCCAATACCAACACCGTATATTGGCCACTTGCTTTAAGCCTCTCTACGAGTGCACGACCGAGACCGCCAGAACCGCCAGCAACTGCAATGATGGAAGACATGACGGCGATTAAATTAGCCTTAAGGAGACTTGGAAAAGGGACGTGTAAAGCGAGATAATAAGAGGAAAGATGTGGTTACATTTCGCTTGCCTCTCAACTCCTTTTACACCCTAAGATAAAACTCCCTCCGACATAACTCGTCCGATTGTGTCTTCCTTTCTGAGGCTAATTCTGTTCATTCATGCCTGCAATTAATAATGCAGACGAAAAATTTCTCGATATCGTCCTATTAATCTTTGGTGGTGGTGCGGCACTGCTTGGTCATGAACGGCCGCTAGCGGCGGCCCCCCCGATCAGACCCACTGGGGCGTGCTGAGCAGAAGAAAACGACCATAAAATGTTGAAAAAAGACATAGATAGCTGTTCAGGAAGTTTAGGTGATGTGTCACTTTTAGTCCACTAGCTCTGTTGTTCAAATACTGCTAATGGTCACGAGCAGCCCTGGTCCCTCATATCAAGCACTAGAGGATATTGGTGAAGCGTTTTAACGTGAAAAATAATGGGATTAAATTTAAACAGAATTCTTTATCCTGTTTGTGTTCTTCCTAATTATGGTGAGAAGTCCAATAAACCCCAGAATCATGCGCGGTTCGTTAGTCCTGACACGATGCGGCTAACACATGGCGTTCTAAGCACTGAAGGCAGTGATGTTATTCCACCCGTAGGAATATTCACGTCTTTCGTTACCTTGAAAAACACTGACGGTAAATAGGATGTTTGATGCTCCTGAATTCTTGGACCGCGATGCTTCTCAATTCTCGACTTTCGCACAAACTTGGTACGGAAATTCACCTTTACTCAAGCTAGTGACTAAGGCTAGTCAGCGCAGGCCCAGTCAAGCCCAGTGAAGCCTCATGTAAGTGTCAGTGCTAAATTGAGCCAGGATCCCATGACAATCATTATCTGATGGACTACCAACCAATTGGAAATTCAGCGCAGACTGAAGTCATAGCAACCTTTGTGCATGAACTCGAAGAACGCCTTGGCATCAAGAGAATGGAGATCTCGCTCACAGAAGAATAGAACCAGACCTTGCCCAGAAAGGGTCAAGAAGACGATACCTCTGAGTACGTAAAAGAAGCAAGGACAACTTTCAAAACCCTAGTATGGTGTAAACTTACAATCTCCTAGGGAGGAACATGCCCGTACCATCGAGATTCATACGACCAACTCGTGAGTTTTCGTGACGGGATAAACAGAAGTTTAGCAAGTCCCCTTGCATTGTGCTCTGCGATAGAGAAGGTATGTTCACGATCTTGCTACATGCCGATCCGAAGCGGAGTCTTTTTCCCCGCAGGGACATTGCCAAAACCGTTACCGACGAGCAGTGAAACGGGCTAATGCATCATCGGCTGCACATCTACCAAACCTGGCTCCTTCACCATATATTCAAGTCCAATGAGGAAGAGGAGGAGTCGTAGCCTTGTCGATTGAGAACGGAGAACTCGGCTACCGTGATGGCCGTAGGTTCTACGTATTTCTTTTTATAGCCTTGCTAACTGATAGACTAAGAAACGTAGTCTGCTAAACCGCTTCCCGCCGTTAAATCTTTCGCCCATCGCTGGAAGCCCTCAAGTGACTGCTATAATCGGCGAAAACCCGTACCTTCAATGAGTGATCGGAAGGAGCCGATGCCGACCATCGTATCCGCAGTCTTACAGCTTGGTAAGTTGAACATGAACACGCAGGAATTGCATTTATTTCTGTTTCCAGGGTTTGATATCGGGCTTATTGTAGTTGTCGAAAAGCCAATACGGTGGAGTAACAAGCCTTTCAAGCTAGCGACGGGTCGGTCTATATTTCGGGTAGGAGTTGAGCCTGACTGCCATTGGGAAATGTAATCCGGAGGTCTGAAAACGCCGAGAATGGAAATAATAGAGCAGAATATAGCCGACGGGGCCAAATTGGAAGATCCAACAATTAAAATCTTTCACATATCGCAATACCGTATCCCCCACACTACACATTTGCTGGATACTATGCAGAACTCAGACCTAGCAACCTGCTCTTATAACCCACCTTATCATGCCACCCTACTGATACCCCTCGCTCTTCGCTGAGTGGCTGGGCTTAGTTCCCAATTTGATGACAGGAGAATTAATGAAATTTTCCCAATCGTGGGTGAAGAAAGTCTGGGCCTTTGAGATCTGCACCTCCTCCATCCCTCTCTTCAAAATCTTTTCGTCGTATTCATCGACCGCTTCCTTCAATGGCTTACCGTCACGCACGGCCTTCATAGCTTCGACAAAGCAGTAGCTGTCAAATAAGGCGTTATTTGCGCCTTGACCACGATCTAAATCCCAACATCAGCATTCATGGATGGATGCTGGAGAAAATTGAGAGCTTGCTTACGGAAAGTCATTGCATGCGCAGCATCCCCACACAATGTAACTCGGCCATCACGATTCTCCCATTTAACTGTCTTCCAGATCTTCAGCTGATCCCTTAGCACAAACGTATCATCTGGTATCCACTCAATCGCACTTTTATACGGCTCGGCCCACCCGTTCTTCTTCACCAACGCTTTCAGTCTTTTCAGTCGATCAGTCTCGTTGTCGTAATCTTCGACCGTCTTCGGTGCCCAGGTCGACAGAATCTGGAAAGTCCAAGTGCTGGGGTCGTTCTGGTCTGGCATGTCGAGGACGTTGGTTCGGATGTAGTGGCCTGCGGGATGGATTGCGATGTCGACGAGTGGGTGGAGGTTTTTCTTTATGTAGAGCGCTTGTTCTGTGGTGTATGAGGCGTTGAAGTTCATTAGGACGAAAGGTAAGAGATCGGGGGTTGCGGCTGGTCCAAGTAACTGTTGGCGCACTTGTGACATTGCGCCGTCAACTCCAACTGCGACATCGCCCTCTTCACTAGTTCCATCCTCGAAATAGACTCTCACACCCCCGTTCTCAATGACTTCAAAATGCGTAAATTTCTTCCGGTATTGCACTTCCAGTCCTTCGGCACACAAGGTGCGCAGCTGACGGATGTTGATTTCGCGTGCATTTGGGATGGGGAACGTAAACGCTTCCTCTCGCGTTTGCCCATTGTATAGAATAATCTTGTCCTGCCCGATTGCAGCACAATCAACGTTCGGGTCCACTTGGCAAGAGTTAAGTTTAGCGCCGAGTTCCTCCGGAAGCAGTTCTAGGAGGTATGGTCGCGCCCAGCCGAGCGTGAAGGCCCAATGGCGATTACGACGGACGTCTTCTCCTTTGTCAAAGATTCTGAAGGGAATATCAGCCTGCTTGGGGTGTTAGTCACAACTTAATTCACAGTGCTCGCGATAAAGATTCCGTTGGTATTGATGAAAGGCCACCTCAAGCTAGTGCGGTACCTTTTTCAGCCCATGTGCGAGTGCACACCCTGCGGGACCTATTATCGAATGTCAGTTCTTCTTTGAAAGAATGAGAGGGGCAGGTTCGGGCCAACCTGCTCCAAGAATGAGAACCTTCATTTGAAGCCCAAAACGAGATATGGATAGTTTGCTCTAGGGATAATTCAACGGATTGAATCTGCCACGCGCGAGGCAAGGTAATATAATATATACAACCGGTATTCCGGCGAAAATATTCTCGACACAACCTCAAACGACTGCTGACAACCAAAGCGTTGGGGATCCGTGCTATAATAGCCTCGTATTCTGATTGGTCCGCTTCTCATTTTCATCTTGTGGTCCTCCAGTAAGGCGTCAAGGCGGCGTTGTGATGTGGCAGTGACGTACAATGCAAAGAATCCGATAACGGGGTCGGAGAAGTCAAGATCCTCCTGATGTCTCGCTCCGGACCTCCGCTAATTCGGCCTCGTTTTCTACTTGGCGCGAAGCGTTTATAATATGAGATATTCACAGCTTCGGTGCCAGTCTCGCCGAAACAGGCTTTTGCGGGGGAGGCGAGGTTCACTTTTGCGGAATCCAAGCCATCAAAAGTTACGCATGGCCTAGCGATCGGGGTTGCGGGGTTCGTGTCATCACGAGGTGGAGGCCTCTCAGCTGATCCTACGCGGCCAGAACATGCGGTAAGGGCCCAAAATGTCTTTTATCGTTGCATGAAGCGCTATAGGTGGAGGGCCCACGAAGGATACAACGAAACGGGGTTGGATGGAAGGAAGGCGCTAGGCCGAGTTAAGCCATTGTAAAGGAAGCATTAGTATTCGTTGCAGCTGACCCAAATTATCATAACTACATAGCATTTCCATAGCCAAAGGAGGAATTATGCCATCCAAAGGTTTAAAAAGCAGACAAGTTCAATTCTTTGGTATTGTTTTATTGGCAGGAATTTCATTTCGCCGTTAACTCCGTCATGACATGCAATTGAGGTCTATCAAAAAATGAATAGGTGCACTTTGAGTCCCGAATGAACACTCTATCCAACACGTAACACTACACCGAAACGCTGACATTCCTTCTCGGTCACCCATGCGCCAACTTCTGCTCCACTCTCCCCTTCCTCGCCCCCTTCTTCTTACTTCAAATTCCCCCCCACTGCAAACATCGCCGCCGCTTTAACAATCTTCTCCACGACCTCCACCTCTTCCTCATTCCTAGGTGCATACACCATAATCCAACTTGGCGGCGCGAGCCACGTAACCGGAAACCTCTGACCCCAGCCCGCCTGTACCACCGTCCTTGCATCTCTGGGTGAAACATACACATGCAGAGAATTCTCCGCCGGATGCACATGCGCGACTTCGTAGAAAATTTTGTGCGCGACGGGATTAATGGTCGGACACGAGGGTTGCACGTAGATAGCTGGACCGGTACCGCCTTCGGTTTTGGAGGGGCCGGAACGGATAGTTTGCGGAAAGCTTGTGGCGGTTGAGGGCATCATGTTCAAGAGGGCTTCGGCTGCGGTGGGAGTTATGGGGTCGCGGAATTGGCGTTGTGGGAGGGTCCTGTTTTATATATTCAATTACAGTTTCTCTGTGGGATGGACGTATGGATAATGAGGGGATATCAGCCATACCATCGGGTGAGCTTTGGGCGTGGCCCTGCTCGTACTGGGATATCGTCTTTGGAAAGATAGGCGAGTCCTTCATCCGGGATTGCGGATGCGTTGAGGAGGTCTTGTGAGTGGAAGAAGAGCCAGAGGCCCCAGCGGCGGATCTTGAGGTAACCTTTGAGAGTGGGTGGTGTACCTCCGGTGCCTGTTGAATGGGTTAGCATTGATGCATGAGGGAGGGTTCGCTGATCATGGTGCAAAAGCGTGTTTGGAAACACGTGAAGGAAAAGCGAGATGATTGACAAAAAGAACAGAAGAAGTTAAAGATCCGAAGTGGAGAAATAGGACTTAAGGCTGAGAAAACCAAAATATGAGGAGATCTTAATTGCCCCAGAGCATCCTCATTCCAGACTGGGAGGGTTGTAACTTACCGAACGCCTTCCACGAAGTAAAATCATACCACACAGTCGCCGCTCCTATCGCCAATCCAACGAGAGCAAGCTGAAATGGAACAGCCATCTTTCAAACGATTCTTGTTGTGTCGCGATTTCTAACTCCAAAAGAAGGGCCTTGTTATTTGCTCAAAGAAATTCCTTCTCTTAGATCAATAGTTATGCGGATATAAAAGAACTAATGGAAGTCCGGATATCATCGACAGGTTGAAGCGGAAATGGTGATATGGACCCGGCTCGGAGCACGGACTGACGGAACTTTAAATATCGGTTGTTGGACCTGGGAGACGTCTATGTGTATGGAGGACGGATGACATTCACTTCGCTCTTTCTTTTCCCTTCTATTACTGATGAAAGAGCGAATATCGCGAGCCTAAGAGTGTTTGCGGTAGAGGTCGGAGATCAGGGTCGGATATTTACTATCGCCGCATTTTCCAAGACTAGTTCGGGTCCCCTCCACGTGAGACGAGACGCTAGGAGAGGACGAGCGAAAGTATTGCTGCTGAGATGGGTGATGGAGGGGAACCGGTGCAGGTTGACCTGCATGCTGTCTTGTGCCCCATTCAAAGCTTTGTGGAGCGGGTGCCGCTTACGTCGGTGGGGTAGAGGGGCAATTCACTTCGGGAAGCCGGAGTAACGCTTCTAAGCTTAGCGCATACGAAAATGTATTGTTGAACAGCTTCGAGTGTCTTGAGGAGTTCTTGGCCTCTCGAACTCAGTTCAGAGCTGCTATTGTGTCGCGGTTGTTCGAGATTCATCTTGCTATAACAAATCCCAGTCGCCCCTACCAGGTACAATATCCATCAATCTTCCTAGCACCGAGCGTACTTCTTCGACGCCACCTTTCACTCATCACCACTAAAATGCCGAACCAATCCACCTCTTTCCCTCCTGAAATAAAATCTCAACTCCAGCTACTCATCTCTGCAAACCACATCCTCCACTACCACGGCCTAGTGGACGCATTCGGCCACATCTCCATCCGCCACCCCTTGAATCCCAATCACTACATCATTGCATCCTACAATCCTGGAGCTCCGGCTCTAGTCTCCTCCTTTGCCCACTTTATCGAATATCGCGTCTCTGACTCCTCGCCCCTGGACCAAGACGCGCCTCGAGGGTACAGCGAACGGTACATTCATAGCGAGATATTTAAACGGTTCCCAAGGGTCATGTGCGTTGTGCATTCACATTCCGAGGCTGTAATTCCGTTTATGACTGCGGGAGTGCAGATTCGGCCTGTTTTCCACATGGCTGGGTTTCTGGGGAAGGACGGTCCACCGACGTTTGATGTCACGAGGACATACCAGGATCTGGAGTCGAGAAAAATTTCACATTCCCCAGATATGCTAATTAAAACTGAGCACCTTGGGGCGAAACTGGCTGAGACTTTCGACGTGCAGGATAGGGCTTTCGGAGATGTGAGCGTGGAAAGGGAAGTAGAAGCCCGGCCTGTTGTTTTACAGCACAAGCACGGTTTTACGTGTGTGGGCGATAGCATTCAAAATGCTGTGTATCGAGCTATTTATTTGCAGAAGAACTGCGCTTTGTTAAAGAACGCGTTGGATCTTCAGAGTGTGAAGAGAGCTAGCGCGGCAGATATCAGTTTTCTGACGGAAGAAGAGGCAAAGGGCTGCGCAAAGATGAATGAAATGACAGCGGATAAAGCGTTCAGACTGTGGCTGAGAGAAGTGGAAGTGAATCCATTGTACAGGAATGAGGAGGGTGTACCAAAAGATTTGCCTGTTGGGGGTATGAAGGACTAAAGAAAGAGGAGGATAGGACACTGGAAAACCAAGACAACCAAGACAACCAAGAAAATCGAAAGGCCCAAGAGATCAGCGTAGAATCGTATGTTGAATATTTCAAAAATGGATATCATCAATATATACCCAAGAATGTAAATGCTTATTCTAAACCTACTCCTGCATCTCAACCACCTTCCGCATATCCTCAACATCTCTCTTCTTAAACTCAATCCCTGCGCCACCCTCGCACCCGCTGATGGGGCCGAAATACGACAAATGGGCGTTCACATCAAATTTCGTATCCTTCTCATTTCCATCATGATTATTAGTTCCCATGAACACCGTTATATCGTTTGCAGTCGGCATGGCATCATTGCCAGAGGAGATGTAGTATTCAGGGGAAACGTGGCGGAAGCCGATGAGCCATGGTGGGAGCTTTGGCACGGGATCGTTTTTGTGGGTGACGCGGAACGAGGAGCCGTGCGAGGTCGATGTCATGAAGTTTGCGAGGCCTGAGAGGCCGACTCGGGGAGAGCCGTAGGTGTACTAGCTTAATCTTTAATTCTTTTCTTGTTTGCGCAGATTCGAGGCTGGGCTAGAGGAGAAATAAGAGGAAAGGGCACTTACAAGATCGACGTTCACGCCCTGGCTTCTGAGTACTCCTGCTGCTAAACTTGCCACCGCGCCTCCAAGACTATGGCCCGTAGCCACGACTTTAAAATCGGGGTACTGCTGTCTGGCCGTAGCAACCACCTTCATGACCCCGGCTTCAGCTTCCCTCCACGAGTTCCAGAATCCAGTTGCAGCGTCACAGCCATCGCAAATGCTAGTCCCGGTAGTGGGAAAGTCGAGATTGGCAAGCCAATTGCGAACGGAGCGCGATCCACGGAAAGAGATTACGATGAGTTTGTTTGTGGTGTCTGTTGCGACGAAGCCGGTTGTATCCGTTTTGAGGGAGCTGGGAATTGTTAGATGGACCTACACCTGGAGAGGCTTTGAAGAGCTATGAAATTCCGCAAAGGAAAGTAATAGGTACTTACTTCTCAAACTCAGTAAGTGTACTTGTATTCGCGCTCTCTACTTGCGGGCAATTCCCTTGAGCGCAAGTAATCTTGGTATTCGGGGAGTTATTGTTTGATGCACAGTATGCAGCCGCTGAGTACTGAGAGAAGAAAACTAATTGGTTGAGAAGGTCTGCAGAGATTGCTACTACACATGAGCTTTCGTAAGGCTAGGCAAGTTGAGGAACATAGTTGGATGAATAGACAGGCTTCAGGAACAAGACTCAAGTGAGAGGATGAGACAAAACATACCTCTCTTCTCCACATCTACAGGTGCCGCATACACCACGCCAATCCACCCAAGCACGAGCACCAACAACCTTAACGGGTATCTTGACTTTGACGACATTGCAATAGCCTGGTAACTATCTTCAACTTTCCATAAAAGAACAACCAATACCAAAGGACTGACACGGAAAGGACAGTATACAGAAGGAGCAGCGTCTGCACCAACTCGTCTTAGAGCTAAAGAACAGAATCAAAGAGCTGCTCCCATCCATCATATAAGAACCACCCACCTACCAACTTGTCACACCCCAACTCCGCCCAACCCTGTCCCAGCCTGGGCAAGCAAGTGCTGAAGGGGTCAGCATGCAACTCGCAGATTAACCCACCACCACACCACATTCTCCTTCTAAACATAGTCGACTTCCTGTTTGGAAGAGCAACTCCAAAACAAGCCACGAGGCCGCAAACCGCCTAAACCACAATGATCCCTTACCTAGGTGCCCGGCTGTGCATTGCATGAACTCCCGCCCGCCAGCTGACCTGCAAATCCATGGCATCTAGGGTGGGATGTCATGTTGTCAGGCGCCCGCTGACATGCCAGCGGCAATCCAAGCCCAATTCTGAAAAGCACGTTTCGTTGAAACCCGGTCTCAGCACTTACGCGCCTGTAGCTCCACAGGATGAACAGTTCTCGTTGCAAGAGGTTCCATGGAGGCTTGAAAATCTGGGTTATCTCGAAACCATTTAGCGCTTCACAGACAGAAATGGCGAGCGGGGCGTCTTTGGTTGAACTGTTGGAGGTGTGGTTGAAGATCGTCGCTCGCTTCCCACAGCCCAGCCTTGGTGGCGATGTAGCCCCTGTTCCTGAAGGCTGCCACACCCATAGCCACATAGATGCTCGATGCACCAATCAGATCACTGCGCTGTCATGGAGGATGAGGGATCGTGCTGTATGACTTCGGGGCCGTGTTTTCAATGCTTCTAAATCGGCACACGAGCGGAAATTGAGCGTTTGAAAACTCGAGGCCGGAGTCCTAAGCTTTGTACATAGCATACTCAGCTGCTTCTTTGGGAGCTTGCGCTCTGTCGCTCGTTCGCATTCCTCGGTCTGCCTGAGCTGAGGCTTCTTCTGCACTGACAATAGCCACTTTGTCAATATCAATAGCTTCACAACGCAGGCATGCGAAACAGGAAATTACACCGTGGAAAGTAACTCAAAGCAGCAGTAACTTCCCATCTCATTACCATCTCTCAATTCATACAAGAGAGTTTACCCCGCAAGTCTGGAATCCCGACAACACCGATGCATTTCCAGCCCCGTGATCCGATTTCTCTATTCGAGTAGTTGTGTATAAAAAGTACCGCGGTATCTCAACTTCTCATGCACGATCTGGTTGGTCCGGAACGCTTCTAGAATAGTGCAAATGTATGCGATAAGACGGCATCTTTAGACCGGGTACCTGCAATTGGGCTCTGCTGCGAACACGCTTGACCAGAATCAAGAAATTCAGAAATCTCAAAGATGTCACGCGTGCAGGAGAGCCCAGACAAAAGCGGTGCGGAATGCAGCTTGAAGATGCATGCCGAGCAAAGAAGTGCGCACCCTAGCAAATCGCCATGGAGATACATAAAGAACCGGAAAGGCTGGCAAATGATTTGTTCAGGAAATGTTGCTTTGATATCAGTGGGCTAGAGAGGCTACATATATACTTCTATGAACTTATCCTAACTCGCAGGATTCGTTGACACTCACAGGTTGCCGGAATCCGGGATGGATTTGAATGATGGGTGGATGGTTGGGGTATTTCGTGCGAAGGGCCATTGACATTCGTGATCTAGCGGGACAAACCTTATACGGTTATAAGATGCAGGCTGCTCTCTGTTGTAGATGCATCTAGACTCTACCTACAGCCGCGATGGCGTGGAAATAACTGCGCTATACTGGTGGGGATTAAGAGAGAGTACACGGGTTTACTCCGGTGGTTCGAAGGGCTTGACGAGCATTTCGCTGAACCTGAAAACGAATGGTCAGTAGCCACCACAACATCCGGGGAGGATATCTCGCATAAATGAAAATTAAATAAGGGACTTACTTCTCCAACCTGTCTTTCCCTCTCACCTCCTCGACCAGCAACGGCATCTTGACCACATTAAACTCATCATAAAGCTCCTCGATCTGATCCAAATACTTCTTCTGCATCTTCCGTCTCGCATTGCACTGCTCGCACGGATTATCCTTCTTCGGAAACAGCAGCTGATTGACCACGATGGCGTGCGTGTCGATCTCATAGCTATTCAACTCCTGAATCATGCGCTCTGTTTCGTACAAGCTCAGGAACTCGGGGATGCAGACACACACGAAGGTCGTGAGATCTGCGTCCTTGAACTGGCCGTTCACTTCAGAGATTGTAGCGCGAAGCGACTCCATCTTCTCGACAAGTTCGTCGATGTTCTGGCCGTTGGGGAGCCGGCCGCCGCCGCCAAGGAATGAGTTCAACATGGGTCCGAATTGGCGTGAGAGCTGTGAGACTTTGGCGAGCGCCTTCTCCATGACGGTTGGGAATTGCAGGAAGCGGAGCGTGTGGCCGGTCGGGGCGGTATCGAAGATGATGACTTCGTACGAGAGCGACTTGACTTGCTTGAGGACTTCGGCGAAGGACATGGCTTCGTCGACACCGGGTATCTGTTCGCACATAGACTGTTAACATCCGTAGTGTCTTTTAGACGGCTCCAGAGGAGTCTTGAACTCACACTAAACGCCAAATCCTGCATCATATTGCCCATCCCTCCCAGCCCCGCCATCGCATCCTCGGCACCCTCTCCTCCAGCGGCCAAAAGATCCTGAATGCTCCCGTTCGGATCAATCTCCATAGCACTCAGATTGTCAAAGCCGTCTACTAGTCGCGCGTCCTTGCCAAATTTCTGATTAAAGGCATCGCTGAGATTGTGGGCCGGGTCCGTTGATATCAGTAGTACCGATTTCCGGTGCTTCGCCAGCTGGATTGCGAGAGAGCACGATGTCGTCGTCTTGCCTACGCCACCCTTCCCGCCCACGAATATCCAGCGGAGCGTCTTTTGATCTAGTACGGCTTGGAGCGTGGGCTCCATGACATCGTCGTCAAGGACGACGGCTGTGTTTGTCATGTTGGCGGTGGGAGTTGGAGTTGTGTGGGGGGAACAAAAGAGGGCAGGTGCGCTTCGCTCCTGTTTTGATCCTTTTGGGGGTGACTCGCACTGGTAGAAGGTTCGCGAATATTCGCAAGCCTGAGCTCGACGTTGGGTCTCGCGTACTTGGGCTAGAAAGGCTAGTGAATAGAAGGATGCAATATGTGTGAACAGGAGGGTGTAGGAGGAGTGAATACGAAGCAAAGGTGTGTGTAGCAAGGCGTAGGTCGACTGGTCGAGCGCGGTTGAGGCTCAAAGTTATTCCGCCTTGAATGCGTGGCAGCGTCATTGCAAAGGTCACCGTGCGTCACCGCCCCGCCACACTGTGGCGCTTGGGACGCGAATCCCAATGCCAATGCCAATGCCATAATCGACATTCCCACCACATCACGTGTATCTATGCGTCTGTCGATGAATTACATTCACCCTTAGTGTTATCATATGATCGCTAAGACAGAAAACCTACACCTAAGACTCTTGACATGAAGAAAACCACCAGCATGCCTACACCCCTTGGGAAAAACTGTAGAAGCCTCGTCCAGGCTCATGCGTGCCCGCCGAACTAAATCCCACAATCGGAAAGGGTAAGACATTCCCAGCCTACACCTATCCATCTTACCATAACACGCCCAAACACCACGAACCCATGCTAACTCAGAACGTGTCAGAGTGAATACCGCACTACCAAGTCAATCAGCAACATGTAGCGACGAAGCATGTTTACTTTTTCTTGCCCTTGCCCTTTGCCTTGGATGGCGCAGAGCCATTGGAAACGACGCTGGTAGCTCGTGACGTCGTGGCAGATGTTGAACCGCCCTTGCCCTTGACCGTATCCAGTTGTTTGTTCTGTGGGAGATTAGTAAACAGATCGATGAAAGGCTAGTTCGGGCAATCTGACCTTGACCCCATTTTTAGCTTTCTTCTTCACAGGAAGCTCCTCTTCCTCTTCTTCGGTCTCTTCCTCCTCAAGTGCACGCTTGCCTTTGACACCATTCTTGCCATCGCCATCCCCAAGCTCCCTAACCACAGTCTGAATGAGCGTGTTGCATCGGCGACCAATTTCCTGAGGTGTTCGACTAAGGAAGAACCAGTCGAAGCGGAAGAGAGGTGACTCGCGAATCTCGTCACGGATCTTCTCATAGATAGCATCGCCTTCCACGCCGTGCTTATCAAGCATAACTAGCAAGAATCGGTCCTCCTCCTCCGTGTAGATTTTCTTGTTCGTCGTCGACACGGTGTATTTGATGACCAACTGTTGCAGTGGCATCCGGTACATGCTAATCTTCTTCCTAAGCAGGCGCTTCTTCTCCTCGCTATGGCGAACCTTTGCTTCCCCTTCTTCGACAACGTTGATATACTTTTGCCAATTATCGAGCGTCTTGTATTTCTTCCAGAAGACCTTCGCGTAGGCCTCGATTTCGTCGGCTTCTTTGCCGTCGACTTCCTCAGAGATGCCATCATAATTCTGGCGCCCGTACTTGGCCGACCCATTGAGAAACTGTTGGAAGTCTCGCTTGTTCCACTCAGGGAAGCCCTTCGCGATCAACCGCTCCTTCTCTTCCTTCTCTTCGTCAGTCAAAGGGGTTGCATTGTCAATCTCCTGTTGCGCCAGCTCCTGGTCAGCCTGTCGCATCTCCAGGTCTTCTTCGGGGCCGTCCGGTAGGGGTGCTTTAATATTATTCTCCTTTCGATACCAAGCAGTCTCTTTATCTTGTAGCTCCCCCAGCTTCTCTGGGAAAAACTGGTAGTCGTGGATGATAACTTGCTTGGGCGCACGCGGGATTCGAGGTTGCTTGCTCTCCGTCCTACCTCCTGTCATCAATGCTTGACGGTAATATTTATCCATGGAGTATCCAATCTCCTTCCGCTCACGTTTCGAAGGGTTAATCCAACTGATGCCGATATCTTTCTTCCTAGGCTGGAAAGTCTCCCCATTCCACTCATACGCAGAATCCGAGGTGAACTTCTGCAGATCGTCCAAGCCAAGTTTCTCGTACTTTGCGTTCAGCTCTGCAGTTCGCTCCTCACCGCGTCGTAGAATGGCGTCGATGTCATCCTCAGAGAGTTCTCCCGCTCCGGAAGCGAGACCAAGTGCGCCTTGGCTCTGGAAAACTTTTTCAGCACCATGTTGAATCATAGTGAGAAGCTCATCCTTTGATGCTGCATTCTTTACAGGTTGCTGTGCGCGACCCTGCTGAATGACTAGCTGATCAAGACGCAGTTTCTGTGCTGCACGCTCCAGGACTTTCTCCTCAATGGCATTCTCGGTAACGAATCGGAACACGACCACTTGCTTTGTTTGACCGATACGATGGGCTCGGTCCATGGCTTGCAAATCAGCCTGAGGGTTCCAGTCGCTATCGAAAAGAACAACGATGTCGGCGCTGGTCAGATTGATACCCAGACCACCAGCACGAGTCGTAAGAAGGAAGAGAAACTTCTCGGAACCTTCCTTATTGTACTCGTCAATTGCAGCAATACGATCTTCATGGGCAGTTGAACCGTCGATACGGGAGTACTGGTAGCCGCGCATGACGGAATAATCCTCCAGAATATCAAGCACACGACTCATCTGCGAAAAGATAAGAACCCTGCTACCTTGGGCTTTCATGCGCTTCAGAAGCTTATCAAGCATAACCATTTTGGCGGCGTTGTTGACCAAATGCTCATCGGTGGTATAAGGTGGACCGGGTTCAGCTCCTTCGAAGAGGTAAGGGTGGTTGCAGCATTTTCGAAGCTGCATGACGATGTTGAGAAGACGGGTCTTGGACTCCTTCTTGCCTGCAGCACCGTTGACGGCATCGATATCCTTCTCGAGGATCTTCTTGTACCATTTGACCTGCATGTCGGCCATGCCAATGTACAAGTTAACTTCTTTTTTCGGTAATAGCGACTTCTCGACATCGCTCTTCACACGACGGAGCAAGAATGGTCGGAGGACTTTGTGCAGCTGTTTGACGACAGTATCTGAATCCTCGCCTTGACTGGAAAACCATTCGTCGAAAGCCGCAGCGTCGCCGAAGACGTCGGGAAGAAGGAAGTTGAGAAGCGCCCAAAGCTCGTGCAGGTTATTCTGCAGTGGAGTACCGGTGATAAGCAGACGGTTTCGGGAGTTGAACAGCCGAATGATCTGAGCAAGTGACGATTCCTCATTCTTGATACGGTGCGCCTCGTCAATGATAATGTACTCCCAGGCAAACTTCTTCAGGTGGGACTTCTCGCGAAGAATCATCTCGTAACTCGTGATGCACACATCGAATTTCTCATCGACAAGTCGGTCGGCAATCAGCTCCGCGCGCTCATCCTTGGCCCCTTGTAGCACCAAAACATTCACTTCAGGAATCCACTTGCCAAATTCGCGCTTCCAGTTGTCCAAAGTTGATTTCGGCACGGCGACCAGATGGGGGCCCGTGATTCCTCCAATGAAGCGGAGATAGCCGATGAAGGAGATAGTTTGCAGCGTCTTTCCCAGACCCATCTCGTCGGCCAATATACCAGAAATACCATTCTCGTGGAGGGAGATGAGCCAGTTGAGACCAGCGACCTGGTAGTCTCGCATCGTGCCGTTTTTGATGTAGCCTGGAGACTCCCGGAACACAGTCTCATTGTGGCCACCTCGCTTCTCCTCCCGAACCAGCTCAGCATCTTCTTCCTGCTCCGTTTTGCGACGTCGCTCTGCGGCTGCACCTCCTTTTCGCGTCTTGCTGTTTTTCGCCTTCGCTTCATCCTCGGCATTCTGGCGGTCGATTTCAGCAAGAACATCCTTGATTCGCGGGTTTGGGTTCGTGTCGATGAAATGCCGGAAGAGGTCCGTGAGGCCTAACAGGTATCGAAATCGTCGAATTGTGTCATCTTCCTAGATGAGGGAGAAGGACGTCAGAAAACACGCTCCACAAATATTTTGCGACGGAAGAAATTGTACCAACCTTTGACGCGCCGAGACGGTCATGTTTCTTTCCGTATATGCTCTTGCGCATGTTGAAAACCTCCGACCGCCGCTTTCGGCCATCCGTTGGCGCTGCATCTCCAGCTACGCTGCTTGCTGTTGTGTTGGGGTTTGTGTCTGAGTCCTGATATTGAGTCAGTTCTGCGCCGCGCGTGGCGTGAATGGGCGATGGGGAGTCGCGAACCGTGTAGTCTGGGGTGTCCTGGTAGTACTACAATATACAACGTTAGCCTGAAGTTCGAAAGAAACACTTGCGCCGTATCCAGTAATTCGTCAGACTTGGTCTCGCCGCTGGGGGAGAGTAGGCAACGCACTCACCGTGAACTTGCTGAAACCATTGGTAGATGCGTTCTGCTCCTGCATTTCTACGTCCTCATTAGTAGAAACGTCGGCGGTAGACGGACCGTCCGAATCAATATTGCGAGTGCGCGAGGGCGCCATGTTGCCCGTTTGGGCTTTACACGGAGAATAGTCCGGTATAAAATCTCTGGGGAATTGTTGCAGGATAGAGGTTTCGATGGGAGACGCGACAGAAATGTAGTGTTGATGAGGGTGGTGGTCGCGTCGAGGCCGTGGCGGAGAGGGTGAGCGAGTGAGGGTTGGTGTGAAGGAGTGCAGAAAGATTAAGGAAAGCACGTCTCTGTTACTCTTGGCGCGTTGAGCACGGACTAGAATTGCCTATCACGTGCATCCCAGTCCTCTTTCGCCGCACTACGAACTCACCAGGTTGACCATGGTCCCCTTCAGTTTCGCCCAACAACGAAGCACCTAAGCACGAATCGCCTTCATGATACTCATTTAGTAAGGTTTTAGTAACGCGTGCAATTGAGGCGATATTCTCTATGACGTCATGGCTAGTGAATATCTCAATGGGTGTTGAGGAGCAGGGCAAGCTTTTTGGCACCGCTAGTATCAATCCCATTAAACGTGTTGTCCAAGAGAAGACTTGATTAAAAATTAATAGTTTCGAGTATCTCCGAAAGGATATCTCACCTCTTCTTCCTACCACTTCTTTAAGCCGCCCACATGGTACTGTACAGTCAAAAGCAGAGTTGCAAATTGCTGCTTGTCCTTCCTAATCTATCTTAATGTTTAATTGGCATACTACCAATTTCTCTTCCATAACTGATAGATTGCGCTTGACAGCATATCCATTCTTGCGGGTAGGCTGATTTATGATAACTAGGAAGCGTGGCCTAGGGATCGCGTGGTCATAAGATACAAAGCGACACATGAATCCAAATGGGTATCTTCGAAGGTAATCCACAAACTTAATCTCATCCCCATGCTCAAACATAATCGCTCCTGCCTTCTAAAATAACACTCAAACCTCACCCAGCACAACCTCCCAAGCAACATCCCCATCCCACCACCCCAATCTTCTAACCCTCCTCTCGGTCACACAAACCGCAAAGTACCATCTAATGCTCTCCCAATTCTTTTGCATATCCTGCAACATCATCACCGAACAAATATGCACTTGCCGATTCGCCGTCACCAACATATGGATCCTACTGGAAGGCGGTACGGAAGTCTGTTGTTGTGCGGAAGGACGACGGGAGAGGTAAGATAAGGAGAAGAGAGCAGTGTGGAGCCGTGGTTTGAGGGAGAGGAGTGTTGGGGAGGGCAGTAGCAGGGTTAGCATGTGTTGGAAGAAGATAGGATGCAGAGGGACTACCCGAATGTAACCAGCGGCTAACTCGAAAACCCCCCACCCCAAACTTTCATTATCTAATTCCCCAGTACCCAACACCATCCCGAACACCTCTTTCGTCGTATCCCACTGCATTCCAAAGGCCTTCAGATTTCCCCTGCCAGCCCCTCAGGCTGCTCAGAGCGAATGGCATCCTGGGCAGCAGAAAACGAACGCGCGTAGTCCTTACCTGTGGCAACTGTATAGTCACTGGTATTAAGAATGGGAGCTCGTGAGAATATGCTGGAAGAGAGTGTGTGGTATGAAACGTGAGCCACAACTAGCCTTTCGCTGGCGTGGAGAAAGAGGTAGAAACGTGATATCGGGTCCATGTGCGATGGCCTTTCGATGATAATTGTAGAATAGGATGGATGGGGAGGAGTAGGGGACTCAAGAGAAGGCGGGGGAGCTAGGATGTCTTCCTGATGTCGAGGTGGATGGGGTATATGCAAAGAGGATATCGGTACTTCTTCATACAATGATGTGACTAAGTTGTCCACAGGGAATGGGGTTATCGAGATTCATTTCAGCACTGGAGATACCTTGCCAGCTCCACCGGCTTGAGTAGTTTGGTTCTATTCACGAAGGGGCGAAGTCGTGAAGTCTTCGGGAGAGAGGGTAGCTAGTGTGTCTTCACCTGACGCAGCTGGTGATGGATCATCGCGCGTTTGAGAAGCCGAATCGTCTTCAGTCTGCAGAGCTTGACTCTGATCAGAAATCGTATACCCAGAAGACACATCGGCAGTGGAGGTCGAAGCAGCGTTGATGTGGTTAGAGATCCTACGTGGGTGTCTAAATATCGAGTAGAAGGTGAAAGGTATGGGGGTTGCTGGAGAGGTAGAGATCAGAGGAAGAGGGTGTCGTGGTGGTGTGTTCGAAAATACGAGGATTGCGCCGTTCCGTTTGGTGTGCTTGGAGGAGTGAATGCACGGCGTGAGGTTGAAAAGGCGGTGGTGAAATAGTCGGTTTGTTGTGGGGAAGACAACATGTCGAATCTGAGCGATATAGGAAATTGGGTATTTTATCCTTTACTAATAGGCGTGAAAGCAACAATGTCAGCGGAAATTCCACTACTGTGAAGGCGGTGGCGGTCTGCATAGAACATGACCGTATCAACGCACCCTTCATGACACCCGACCTTATTTAACTACCTCTTGAGAAGCCGCATACGTGCAAGGAACCCATTCCCAGATAGCCCTCAACCCTTCTCACAGTCCCTCATGAACTCCACCAGCAACCCATTGAACTCCTCCGGCTTCTCCCAGAATGGCGAATGCAGCAATCCTTCCATCCGGAAACACTTCCCCTTCCAAAGCCTCTTCCACTTAATTTCATCCAGATAGTCTAGATTGACAAACGGTTCATCCGCACCGTTGACCACCGCAACCACTGTGCCGTCCTCCTCCTCTACGACTTTCCGCTGGTCAACTCCAACACCATGATTGAAGGCGTGCCACATCAAATATCTAGCTTTCCCGTCGGCCCTCCGCACCGCATCTTCCATCCAGGATTCAAACGGTGGACCAGTGACACAGCGAGAAAATTCAATGATTTCCTCCTCTGAGAGGTCTTTCTGGGCTGCGGCCGAGACATGCGCGTCCTGGCTCTTGAACCCGTGATGGGTTTGCTCGACACCAAGTGCGGGAGGTGAACCAACAATCATGAGGCCTCTAAGAGCGCCTTTTGGAAGCAGCGGGATCATCTCGATGCCGATGTGGCCACCCAAACTCCAGCCGAGGACAACAACCTGGTTGATGGAGAGATGTTGAAGTATTTCAACGGCGAGGTCGGCGTAGCCTCTCATCGAGTATGTTCTCTTGGGGTTTGGGGCATCAGACGAGGCACCGTGGCCGGGGAGGTCGAAAGTAATGATTCGCCATGAGGAGAGGAAGACAGGATCATTGAGGATGTGTTTGAAGATTTGAGAAGTAAAAGAGTTACCGTGGATAAGCAGAAGTGCCGGGGCTGAGTTCTTGAGGTTTGTGTCTCGGATTGAGATTAGCCCATGGCCAGTTTCGAGAGTGAAGTGCCCGTTTGGCATTTCGGGCTGCGTGCAGGGGTTAATAAAGATTTCGAGGGGTTGGCAGAGAGCAGATGGGAGTGACCGGGTGCGCCGGTGGAGAAGGTGGCAATATAGTTGAACTCAGATAGGCGTATGCAGCAAGAAGGGATGGAGGGAAGGCGCATTGGGCGTAACTAGCGACCAAAACTCAAAAGAGCCATGGAGCGCACGCGCTGCTGCACTTCCTTCCCTCTGCATCCAACTCAGATACCAAGGTGAAGAATCAAGCACTTACTGTGGCACTTATTAACTCTAATCTTGACATCACGCAAAGCCCTGTAGAGGTAATGTCAAATGCTTTGTCGGCAGTAGGTCTTATGATCCTGCTTTGGTGTTGAAGTGACGAATACAAGACGACATGATCGACATTGAGAAATGCAAGCTGCCCCACTTGTTCACTCAGCTACCGTGCGACGGTAAAGCGATGCACTCAGAAGTGGAAAACACTCATAGGTTTGGTTCTAATCTATTACCTGTCACAGGCCTAATGTTTCAAAGACTAGATTTAGTGGACTAGGTGTGTCCAAGCATAATGGTATTAAATCACGTGAGCATTAGGTAACCTAGGAATGGGCCGATTTTGGTAGTTCCCACGGGTGTACAGATGTCGTCCCCTCACTCCTCTTCGTCCTCGTCGTCTTCGTCGTCTTCGTCGTCTTCGTCGTCTTCGTCGTCCTCTGCATCGGATATCTCCTCACCTAGTTCTTTGAGCCGTTTCTGCTATTTATTAGCACTTGAACTGGTATCCTTTACTCCAGAACACTTACCTTATCTCTTGTCCTCTTCTCCTCAAGATCCCCGAGAACAACAAATAGATCATCCAATTCAGTCTGTGCGGCAAACCTCGCCTCTTCTTTTTCCTTGACACTCGCCTCGGCCTTGCGTAGCTTCTCTTCCGCGTCCTTGGCCTTCCATGTCAGATCCTGCGTCTTTGTCTTCAGTTGCTGATTCTCCGCTCTTGCCTTTTCTATAGAATCCTGTAACGTTTCTTTTTCTGCCTTTAGCTGTTTGATCTGATCCTGGCTGTTTCGAAGATTAACCTCGAGATTACTGATCGTTTCCCGTACAATGGCGATTTCGTCTTTCGTTCTCCTCTGTGTCTGCTCGAATCCACGGATGGTTTCGAGGGCTTCCAGTCGCGCTTCGTGTGCTGAACTAAGTCGGCGCTCAAGGTCTACACGGGCTTTGTTGGCCTCGTGTAACCTCTCTTCATATTCTTGTTTTGTTTTGGCAACAGCCATGGCCCCTTCCTTCACAGACTGCTGTATCTTGTTGTTCAGTGCCGCGACCTGCAAGTTGTATTTGTTTTCCAAATCTAATGTTGCTTGGCGGTGTTCACGTTCAAGCTTTTTCGTTTCCGTATCGTGATTCTTGTGGAGGTCATCGTTGATACGCTTTATTGTGTTGAGCTGTGTAAGGGCCGACTCTTGCGACTTACGATGGTCAGCTTGTGCTTGATTCAGCCTTTGTTCCGTCGTTAGAAGCTCTGACTGTATCTTTTCAATGGCCTGAATCTTCTCTTCGAGCTGACCCCGCAGCGAATCGACAAGATCTCGGTCAATACCGTCATGCGATTGGTGCTGTTCGAGTCCAGGGTCTCGGTCGATGGCGCGCGATAATCGGCTGAAATTGTCTTTGAGAAAATCTACAAAGGTCTCGTCGAAATATACTTCAGGGATGGGTGCACCATGCGCAGAGGCATCGTGATGAAGAACTTCAAAATCTCGCACAATGGGGTGGTGGCGTAGCTGCGTTATGGCATCGAGGTATTTCTCCCGACCTAGACGAGAAGTCAAGATAGGCTGAAGCTCGCGTCGAGGTATCGGGGAGTCCTTTGTGGAGAATTCGTAAATGATGCCTAAAAGTGCAGCACAGAGACCCTTGATGACAGTTTGATCATGACCTGGCTTCAAGCAGGTCTGTGCGAGGCTTTGGAGGCTGCTTGCTTCCCCGAGGAAATCGTTTACAGCTGCGGCGTCTTCAAAGAGCCACCCAGAGAGCAGCATCAGATAGGCAATGGAGACTCGGTCGTCCTCACCCAATTGCAGACTAGCTATCAGGTTTCCCGTAAGGGCTTGTATGCATGTCACCACTTCCTCGCCGCTCTCGGCGTCTCCCTCGGCGACCTGCATTAAGAGGCTTTTCGCTTCATGATCTTCGAAGATTAAATGAAAAACTAGGGTCGCTGCGAACCAAGTCCGATACGGATCGATTGTCTGGGAGCCTTGAGGTCCAGTAATTAGCGTTGTCAATACATTGGCCGTCTCATCCTGGCCTGAAAGATGGCCATCAATAGCTCTTCGAAGAAAGTGCAGTCGGATCTGGACATGGTTGAAGAAGTACGCTTTGATGCACTCGCATGCCGCGAACCGCGCGTCGAACAGATCGTTACTTGTGGGACTCAATGCAAGATCCAGTAGCGCGTTGATCACGTTGACAGCTGGGACTTCATGTGGTGATGTTGCCCCGTTGGTTTTCGCGTCGTGCTCAGTAATCGGCCGGACCTGCAGCTGGACAAAGCCTTCTTGAAGCCGATTGTTACCTCTAATCAAGTCGGCGCATGTGTTCAGTGCCTTGAGACAAATCAGTAATGCTACGGAAGGCTGCATACACGTAACTGACCTCGACTTTTATTGGAATCGCAGTTGAAGGATCGAAGGCCATGTTTAACACTTGCTGGAGGAGCCCGTGCTTTTGGAAAGCGTTCTGATTGGGCAGAGTGCTTGTGCTACCTGGGACTAAGAACATACGCAGGATGGCCAAAAGGCCCCATACATTCTTTTCGCTCTGGGGACTGACCCAATCATCGTCCCCAGTGTTTGCTCGCGCTTTCTTGTTTTTTGGGGCACCGGGTAGGAGTGCAGCAAACCTCGCCATGCCGCCTGTCTCCCGAAACGTGGTTTGATTTGAAGCATTGAACCGAACGAGATTTGCGAGTAATGACAAGCAATCCTGGACCACTATGCCTCCTTGGGTGAGGGATCCGTCAGCCTGGATCATGTTGAATATCCGCTCGAAGGCGTTCTCGAAGACGAATAGCTTCTGGAGCTCAGGTGAGGATTGTGAGAGGTCGTTGAGGAGCACGAGGCCAGCTGAATGGGAATGATATTAGCTATGTTGCCACCTCGACATGAACTCTCCATTGCGTACCATTATGCACTGCCTCTCTCGGGTCGTCCAGAGTCGCCACTAATCGCGGTGTCCCCAAAGGCGCTGTCAAGATGCATTCTTGGGTTCGTTCCGGCCTCGCACTGGATATGGCCTGTATCAATTGGAGGGAGTAAAGGCGGGAGTAGAAGTCGGGGGTTTCGAGGAGGTCAAGGAGGATAGTTATGTTATCTTGACGCTAGCATAAGCTCAGCACAGGGAGCGGGATGGGGTCAAGCACACTAACCTGAGTGAATTCGTCGGCAAGCCAGAGAGCGATTTCATCTGAGGCCTCAGGCTGGTTCGCGTTAGCAAGAGCCTAAGAGTCGGCGTGGGGGCATACACTGTGTTCGTTTGGGTTGAAGAGCATCATCAGCGTCTCCAGGACCACTTTGATAGTATCGACATCTTCAGCGTCCTTAGTCAGGCAAGCGATGAGGCCGCGAAGAGCGCCCGAGGCGACCGAGGCCGGATATTCTTTTGCAAAGCTGCGAAGCCCCAGGATGGCAGCGCGGCGGTCCTCGAGGAGGGTAGCACTAGCAAGACGGCTGCTCAAGGTGCTAATGGTGTCCGTGGCCGTCTGTTTGGCAGGGGCCTGGGCCTCGAGCATTCGCAGCATCGTGGAGTTTGGGGGTTGCGCTTGCTCACGGAATCATGGCGTGGCGGGAGGTAGATACGGAGTCTAAGGATTCACGTTGAGAGTCGGCGTCGTCGAGAGTAGGGATGACGGCATTGCCTAGACAGCGGGCCTCGCGGGGACAGCAAGCAAAGAAACGTGAGCTTCAGCACAGAGGTACACGTTGAGAAGAAATGCATCGAGGCATCTTACTGGCCGGGGCCTGCTGAATAAAGATGCAACACCATCCCTCTTCAGGCCTAGTCCATCGGCGCTGGAAAAACTCAGTCCCCGTCGCTAGTGCGTCTTGGCGATCGTCGCCTTGAAGAAGTTGTGCGCCTGTCCTCTGTCGCGCTCTTCCAAACCCATCAACAACAAACACCACCTCGGCAATCCGCACTGCTCCCTGGCCCTCGGCGCAGCCACGGACACTGCAACTTCAGGTGGTTGTTCCATCTCTGCCCGTCTCCACCCTCCCCTAGCAGACCCTCTGGCTCGCCTGTCTCACCACCCGCCAGAACTGCTCCCTTTCACTTGCCCATCACTCTCTTTGACTCCGCATCGCAGTCCTGGGACACATCGTGTACTGCGTCGCAATTAGACCTTCGCGTCAAGTGCTTGTGCCAGCCCCCGTTCTCCTTCCCTTCCACCGAGCTGCTTCTAGCTCTCTTCCCCGCCCTGTCGGTCGCTCAAGCCCATACTCTTCTCCCCTGAACCCACATCAAAAAATAAAAATATAAAAATACCCTCAACGAAGACTCGCATCGTCGAGCATCAGCCGTAGCCATGGGTGTTCCAGCCATGTTCCGCTGGCTTAGCCAGAAGTACCCAAAAATCGTCTCTCGAGTCATCGAAGACCACGCCAAAGAAGTCGACGGCCAGGTCATTCCTGTCGACTATACCAAACCAAACCCCAATGGCGAAGAGTTTGATAATCTGTATCTAGACATGAATGGCATCGTTCACCCTTGCACCCATCCCGAAGATGCTCCCGCGCCTAAGAACGAGGTCGAGATGATGGAAGCTATCTTTAAGTACACTGAGCGCGTAGTTGGCATGGTGCGCCCGCGCAAATTGTTATACCTTGCAGTCGATGGTGTCGCGCCCCGAGCGAAGATGAATCAGCAGCGCTCACGCCGATTCCGTGCCGCAAAGGAGGCCAAGGAGAAAGACGTCGACAAAGCCGAATTTGCCAAGATGCTGCGGGCTCAGCAGATCAGCAGGGGAGAAGACGTCACAGTCAACGACGACGACACAGCTGAAAAGACCTGGGACTCCAATGCCATTACGCCAGGCACCCCATTCATGCATCTTTTAGCCAAATCTCTCCAATACTGGTGCGCAAAGAAACTAAACACCGACCCAGCTTGGGCGAACATGAAAGTCATCATCTCAGATGCGTCTGTTCCCGGAGAGGGTGAACACAAGATCATGAACTTCATTCGATCTCAGCGTGCTATGCCGACCCACGATCCAAACACCCGCCATGTCATTTACGGCTTGGACGCTGATCTTATCATGCTCGGCCTAGCAACTCACGAGCCGCACTTTAAAGTTCTGAGAGAAGACGTCTTTTATGATGCCAAAAAGGACAAGGGTTGTTCCAAATGTGGTAGGAAAGATCATAACACCCAGATTTGTCCGTATCCCGATAATGCGGAGAAGGTCGACGAAGATGATCTTGACCAACCATCTGGCAAGCCATTCATCTGGCTCCATGTGAATGCCTTGCGCGAGTATCTAATCGCGGAGATGGACGCCCCAGGACGACGATTTACTTATGATCAAGAGCGTGCTCTTGACGACTGGGTTTTCATGTGTTTCTTTGTAGGAAATGATTTCTTACCACATCTTCCAAGTCTAGACATCCGAGACAAAGGTATCGACTTGCTGTTGGAGATCTGGCGCAATCTTGTCCCTACTATGGATGACTATATTACCCTCAACGGGTACCCTGACATGAAGCGTGTACAGCAAATAATGGAGGGTCTTGCCAGGCAAGAGGCGGGCATCTTCAAGAAGCGTAAAGAGGAAAATGATCGTCGAGACAAACGCCAAGCCGAGAGAGAAAATGGCAACAAGAGGGGCCGATATGATCACAATGGAAATTCCGGCCCGCCATTTAAGCGCGTAAAGGAGGACACTTCGACCTATCTGAACGCCGGAATACCGTTTTTCTCTCCACAAGACGCGCAGTCAAAGGAAGTCCGCAATGTCCACCAAGATATGATTGCAAGCAGGGGCCAGTCGAACAAAAGCGCTGCAGCCCAATTAAAGGCCATAATGAAAGCCAAGGCTGAAGGTTCCGCTAATGCTAGCCAAGAAGACGGCTCAGCATCGGCTGCAGACACTGCAGTGTCTCTTGGTAAGCGGAAAGCCGATGCTATCGAAGATTCCGACTCGGGCACGCCTGGTCGCAATACACCAATCCCCCATAGTTCGAGTGACCAAGAGAAAAAAATGCCGGAAGACACAATTAAGCTTTGGGAAGATGGGTACGAAGAGCGGTACTACGAGCAAAAGTTCCACGTGCAGCCTGATGATATGGAATTCCGCCACAAAGTTGCTCGGGCATATGCTGAGGGTTTGTGTTGGGTGCTGAGATACTATATGCAGGGCTGTCCGTCCTGGACATGGTACTACCCATACCACTACGCGCCCTTTGCCGCCGATTTCAAGGATATTGACAAGATGAAGGTCAAGTTCAAGCGTGGAAATGTATTCAAACCCTATGAACAATTGATGGGGGTTCTTCCGGCCGCATCAAATCACGCGATTCCAGAGCCTTTCCGCATTTTGATGTCTGACCCAGATAGTCCAATCGTGGACTTCTACCCTGAGGATTTCCCTATCGATCTCAACGGCAAGAAATTTGCTTGGCAAGGTGTCGCTATTCTTCCCTTCATCGATGAGAAGCGTCTGCTTGATGCCATGAACACGAAGTACCCTGAACTCTCTGCTCTCGAACATCAGCGCAACGAGACTGGGAAAGAAATCCTCATGTTTTCAAGTGAGCACAAGCTTACTGCAGCTATCGAGGATTCGTTCTATTCACGTAAGGCAGGAGACGTTACAGTACTGGCGCTTGATCCCAATGACAGTGACGCACTCCATGGCCACGTTGAGCCCTTCCCTGGATATGTCCCGAACAGCGTTCTTCTCCCGCCCTGGGAAGAATTTGATGAGTTTGCTCACCAGGCTGTTAACATGGACAAGATCGCTGAAGACATCTACGATAACGCAACGAGGGTGGCGTATGTGATGCCGCACGTTGATTCTAAGAACGCGCATAAGTCGGTTCTCCTCGATGGTGTCATACTCCCACCTAGGGTAGTGTCTGATGAAGAAGCTCGAAATGTTCGTAACTATCGCAGCCGGGGGTTTAATGGTCGCGGACGGGGCGATGGTCGTGGACGAGGTGGTGGCCGGGGAGGACCGCAGGGGTCATTCAATAGGTCATACAATAACAACAATAACGGCGGTTATAACAACAACAATTACAGCAACGACATGCCTCCGTCATTTCCATATGGCGATCCGCGCGCAGTTCCTAACTTCAATCCCCAAATGGGATCTGCCCCAAGGTGGGAGGGCCCTCCCGGTGTCAATCAGCGCAGCGGACTCAATGGCATGCCATCTCCAGCCGAGATTCTAGCTGCACCTCCAAGCTGGGGACCACCTCAATATGCTCCAGGCACCGGTGGATATGGAGGCAATGGTGGTGACAATTACCGACCAAATGATCATAGTGGATCATACACCCAACGTGGATACAATGGAAACGCCGGTCCTCCTGCCCGATACGGTGGACAAGCCGACCACGGAGGCGGAGGAGTTGGTGGATATGGTGGCTCTTACCAGAACAGCAACCAGGGATATCAAGGGCGCCAGAACAGCGGTTCGTATGGTCGCGGAGGCGGGAATGGTGGGAATGGTGGACGTGGTTCCTATGGCAGCAACCAGCGCTATCAAGGACGTGGAGGTCGGGGCAAAAACTACTGATCTAGAGGGTGGATTACCTTCCGTCTGTATATATTGACTACTGTGTTGCATGTTGGGTCAGGTACTGTACGATAGCTTACTTTATTCTGGCGTGGGTGTTAAAAAAAGGAGTGAGTATGCAAAAATTGTGAGAGGTGTATGCACCTCTCTGGGTGGTGGGGTTCGTAATTTGTAATAAATTTTTTTGGCATTTTTGCTTCTCGTGCAATATTGCTCATATAAAACCCCGGACTCTTTAACTAAATCAGCTGGCCTCCAGTTTAAGCTTGTCCATTGGCTCTAAGATCTTTTTATGACAAATTGTGGCTATTAGTTCTAGACATTGAAGCATCAGACTTTCTTTCTGGAAGAGCCACTGAAGCTGTAAATCCGACAAAGAGTAAGGGTCGGACGTACCCTCGTGCATCCTCCCTCCTCGCGTGGAGCCTGACCGAGACAATTAGGAGGGAGTTTTGCTTCATGTTGCTATTCCACCGAACAAGAAGGCTAATCTTTAAACTCTAACTACTCTAATCATGTTCCATGTCATGCCATGCCATAACATGCCTTATGTATACTGTGCATGCCGGAATCGCGGACATATGAACAGGGGAGAGTCTGCTCAAAATCTTCCAAGACAATGATGTAGACTCAAACAGGTGACTGAACTAGGTATCCTAGAAGCTATTCATGAAAGTCTTCGCTGTCAAAAATATTTCGTTCTTGACGGGAAACCAGTTGCCTTCATTATATTTAGTCCCTCCATTTCGGACGTAAGGCTCTCTATCATGATCTCCTAATCCCTTGAACAAACTTTGCTCAAGCTCGCTAGGTAGCACGTGCACTTAGGACAATCCTATTTTCTTCTCTAGTGGAATATTGTCTTCGGTCCTTTGATTTTGTTGGCATCTCCTATCTTTGATCAAATTTTGATCTATTCACGCTATTCGTGGCTTATTATCGCAGGAGTGCAGTAGTGTCCCTGAGTTTGAGCTAGAAGTTAGATTAAGAATGGAGGGTTGGCGAAATATGCCGCTATTGGTTAACCTATTATTTACTGAGTGTCTAGGGGGGGCGGTTCTTTAACATGTTCATGTCAGCGCCCGTCCCAATCCAAATTGCCTCCTAAATCTAGTGAATATCTTCAATGCTAGCAGCAATTCCGAAGCCCAAACGTAAAAGTGCAAGATGGACTACGCAACTAAGGAAACCGCATTCCTACATTGATGTACAAACATTTTTCTTATGAGCGGCGTCATAAAACCGCTTTCCAAAACAATTCATGGTAAAGGACATGAACGCTATCGTAAGAACCATTTTAATCCAGTATCCTAAGCACGGGGATGAAAAAAAAAAAAAACATTCAAAAGCTGCAGGTAAAAATGCTGTTCTAGGGAGAGAGTTACAACACCATATGTAAACAGCCTGATGCTCCTTGCAATCCCGGGAGGCGGTCGGCGAACTTACACAAGCATTTGAAATTTTAACTTATCCCTTTTGACAATTTCTGTTCTCTTATCCAAAAGCCCACCCCTATCCTAATTCACCCTTAGATACCTCCCTCTAAACCATTCTCGTCTCTCTTTGACTAGCTAGATGAGTGCTTCACATAATCTAGGCTCATCAAGCAAAACTTCAGTATAGTCTTAGGTATTCCGGGCGGTGGTGTTATGATCACTATTCCGAGGTGGTGAGCAAATACAATAACGCCTTCAGCTTAATGCTTCTCTGCCATAGCTAAGGTCAAGCAATTTGTTGCTAGATCTGAAGCCCAACGGATTATTCGGTAGATGGTGGTTAGAAATTTCCCAACGTAGTTGAGCTGCATGACGTGTTGAATTTGGGTGGCGAGAAACCCGCTGTGCTGAGAAATATAAGTGGTACTTCAACTTCAGGCAACCCAATATTATGTACACATTAAAATTTACTATAATTCTAGATAATCCATAGGATGTAACTACCCCTAAACATATAGGGCTTTACCTACCTAAAAATTGTGTTTACGTTGCCGCGTTTGCGTCTATTTTACAGAGAGCGTTGTTTTATAGGTAAACCAGGTTCCTTTACTACGGCACTATTATTAAGCTCTTGTTGCTTATAATACTTATCAAAGGTCATGGCTCGTGCTTAGAGTCTTAATACAACACTAAATGATTATCATTAGCCTTATGTCTGCTATAGCACGCAAATCCATGGAAGGTCACCACACATGTTAGTGCCTCTACTCGCGTATAATAGAAGCAATCACTAGTTCGGGCTGAGGAAGAACCAAGCCCGCCTTACATGATTATCATCACAGTTTACACAGTAACTTAGCTACCCTAGGTAGCTGTTAAGACTGTGGCTTTGTGGAGTCTTAGCAAGGAGGTAAATTTAAGCCCCGCATCCTTGTAGTTCAAGCTTGGCCATGCCTCTGGTCAGCCAACTTAACTCTCTGACGCCTATGGAATCGCCACATCGCAAGGGTATTACTGGGGCGGGTCGAACGTCCTCCCTGCTAGCCGTAGCAAAGCGCAGCCTTCGAACACGTGACTACTTGAAGAGAATATTGGTGTAAGGTGGCCGAAGTAGATGTTGTAATCTGATTAAGACCCTTACTGTGTTACATGACATCGATCTCAAAACTCACTTATCCCATTAGTCTATGCGCTAGCCTATTTTACACCCCTCCCTTTTATTGTATGCAGCATCTGAGAGCCTACCCTCGACCTTTCGAAACTATGCTCCAAAATGTACGTACTGAGCCCAGAGCAGTGGCCGCTTGCGGTATTCTTTGCTTTCCCGAACCTTCATAACCGCTTTGTGCAATGCTATTGCAGTAGCCCTATCGCCGTCCCTCCTCACAGCTCTATCTTGAACAAGTTCAGAGTAGAACGACTTCGCAATACTTACGCACACATTATCGTTAGACGGCCACAAACAACCAATTACATGTCGAAACCCGGCAACCTGAAACCCACTAACAACATGGAGCACTTCGTCCGAGAGCCTTATCGCTTGGTTCTGCGCAGTTGAACAGGCCGAGAGGTACGCAATCTCCGCCTGCGAGAGGTGGGCCTGAGATACGTCGCGAACGCTTAGGATGTCTTGCCTTGGCTCTTCAGTCGTTGTCCTAGCTGTTTGTAGTATCAAACCACTCCTAGACGGATCCACTAGATCTGACACCCCGTGGCAGGCGAAGTGGGCGATGTTGCATCTCTGCAGCTGGCCCATGGCGCTTGTGACGTCTGGGTACTCAAGGCTCTGCACGGATGCAGAAGGCCCCATAGCTGCTATAACCTCAGATCTCTCATCTCTAGTTCCTGGGAGATCATCCGCGCAAGGGGTTTTGGGCATGGTTACAACAACTACTCTCCAAGGATCACGACCAGATGGGATGTTGGTAGTTATATTAGCGCGCCCTTGGGCATATTCCAGGGCTTTGATTGTTGGCGTGTAGGATGAAATAACCCGGTAACATGCACTTTCTGATAACCCAGCAGAGAAATCACCGGCAGAATGAAAGGGGAAAGAGCTAGCGAGACCAGTTCCGATCCACCAGATCCTCGGTAAGTCATCTGCAGAAGGCTGCACGTAGTAGTGAAGCTCGTCCAACACATGCTTCACACATTCGCGCCACAACCACGACAAGAACTGAAAGTAGATTTTGTTTTTCCGACCTCTGTCTCTTAACGAAGTCGTCGTTAAGTCCTGTTTAATCCAGTCTTCGGCTTGGTGTGCACTTAAATTAGGAAGCGGGAGAACCTTAAATGCGTGAGCAGTAACAATAATGGCATCGCTCCTGAGGTTGGTAATATTTATAACAACGATGGTGCCCGCCTTGGAACAGCTCTGCATTTGTTTGGCAGTTAGGCTTTTATGAAACTGGTTGAACCCAGGGAGCTGCTGGATATCTTGTACACACTTCTCAAGCTTTGCGATTGCTTCCGTTCGGCTTGATGAAGCAACCGCCCGCGTACGATCATCCGTAATGTTCTTAGTGAGCTTATTTACCTCAAAGCAAAGACTTTCGTATTGTGCACACATCTCTGGATAGGCCGCCTTTAGTTTGGAGGTGTTACTTCGGTCATCTATAATAAGGCTAAGGATTACTCCTCGTCCTTGCTCTAATAGCTCTAAGGCTGCCTCGGGACCTTTTCCTGTGTGGAGAGCGAGAGAGCAGGCAGATGTAGCTAATCCAGAAAAGTGTGAGACAACGTACTGTTCGTCTTGATGGTCTAAGGATCTATTATGAAGGTAGGGCAGTAGATTAATGGCCTCTATTGAGATCTGGTAGGCACTTTTGAAGTCCTCTTGGATTTGAAGTAACTGAAGGGCCTGGGTGGAAGCGCGAACACGAACAAATGGAGTGGCGTTATTGCAATTAAAGGCTTGTTGGGTTACCCGAGTTGCCTCCTCGAGGTTCTCCATCTTCCCCGTGCGTTCATATCGGCTTTCGAGTTTGTTCCCTAGGTTGTTTAGGCAGGCTGCGAGATGTGGATGGTCGTCAGGCGTGACTTCGACTGCCTGGCGCGCCACTCGGATAGCCTCTTCGAGGTCCTCCATCTTCCCCGTGCGTTTATATCGGCTTTTGAGTTTGTTCCCCAGGTTGTTTAGCCTCCCTGCGAGGTCTGGATGGTCGTCAGGGGTGACTTCGACTGCCTGGCGCGCCACTCGGATGGCCTTTTCGAGGTCCTCCATCTTCCCCGTGCGTTCATATCGGCGGCCGAGTTTGTTCCCCAGGTTGTTTAGGC